AGTGACATCGAACTTGTAAAATTGACTGAAAATTAATAGTGAACTTTAAAATTTGGCGATGAAATTTTGAAAATTCGACAAAGCGCCCTTTATGTTCAATGAATGCGCCAAAACATCTCTCTTCGTGCTCAACTAATGCGTCGCAACATTTTATAAACACGTTTATATTGTTTTCATAGATTTTTAGCTAATAACAATATGGGGTATCTTTGTAAATAAAAGTGCGAAATACTTGTACTAAAAGAAAAAGGAAGTTGAATGTAATAAGTTGAAACATGAAGGATGTAAATGCAAATATCAAGGTTTCAAAACAAAATCAAATAGTGAACTTTAAAATAGCGATGAAAATTAGAAAATCGACAACGCACCGTTGGAGGTTAAATAATGCGCCGAAACATCACCCTTCGTGTTCAAAAAATGCGCAAATACATCACCCGTCATGATCGAAGAATGCGCCGCAATATTTTATAGACACGCGCACATTGTTTTCATAGAATTTTTAGCTAAAATAAAAATACGAGGTATTTTTGCAAATAAAAGTGCGAGAAACTTCTATTTAAAAAAAAAAAAAAAAAAAAAGTTGAATGCAATAAGTTGAAACATGAAGGAGTCAAGTGCAAATATCAAGGTTTCAAAACAAAATCAAATACCTCAGTGTGTACAAGGACGCCGTCTGAACCAGTGACATCTTCTTTCTCGCTCTCTCTGCACAGGCAGACTGCCGGCGTGAGTTCGTACATGCAAACGGCGATTTGCGAAAATGACGCCGTTAACATCCGCCGAGTTGAACTACCTCATTTTCCGTCACCTTAACGAATCCGGTATCCCTCTTTCTTTCTCTGCATTTTGCATTCTATTTTACTGTTGGTATGAATTCTTTTGCAGAAGTTTTAATTTTGCGATTAGGATTTATGAACGGAACTTGAATTTCTAGGTTTTAATTTTAAAAGAGGGCTTTTTTATTTAATTGTACTTTTGGAGTTCTCATTTTAGATTATATCTGACTATTAATTCAATTTTAAGATCGTCTTTATGATTTTGGCAGTGAGTAGCGGAATTCATCTTCTCCAATTTCAATTAACATGTTTTATTTATTTATTTAAAAAAAATTGGTATGTTGATGATTTTTCTAGGAATTTTCTGCTTGATCATTTCTTCAATGCCAGAAGGTGGTGTGACAGACACACAGTTGTTGTTGCATTTAAAACCTTGAAATTTATGAACAACACTTATTTTTACTTAGCAATTTTAAGAGTCTGGTGAATGTTCTATCGGTTATCGTGTGCACTTTGAGAAGCATTTTATTCCTTATGTGAGTGAGATTCAAATTAAATGGCCAATTAGTTTTTAGTTATTCTTGGATATGAGATTTAATTAGCTGTAAAGATATCAGTTCTTAGGGTTCTGTATTATGCAACCTATTTTCCGGGCCGGCTAATCGATATTTTAATGCAATTATCTGAAAGATTTGAAATTCATGCACATACCGACAAAACCTTTTTCACGTTCGAATTCCCGGACCATTTAATGCTGTAGAGTGCGGTAAAGTAAAATTCTATTTTTGTCGGTTTGTCGTATCGATGGGATAGAGTTCCTTTGTTATTGTGGTGGTGTGGTGTTTGTGCCCTTAATTTCTATAAATGGTTTTCAGGGTACACACATTCAGCTTTCGCATTCGAATACGAGGCAGGAATTAGCGAAAGTGCCATTGATGGAAATGCTGTTCCACCTGGTGCTCTTGTTACATTTATCCAAAAAGGAATTGAGTATCTTGGAAAAGAAACGAAGCCGAATAACGTAAGAATGTCACGAGTGAGATTGAGTTTTTTTCTCTCCTTTTTGGTGCATGTTTGAGAATTTTGTAGTGACGCTTAATTGTCGAACCCCTCCAGGGCGATCTGGACGCAAATGGAAGCTTCCAGTTTCGGCATCCTATTGAACTTATAACAAAAGACGTAAATGAACTACAAACTATCATAAACGATAAAAAGGAAAATATTCAGAAGAATAACTCTAAGGAAAGAGAAAGTAGATGCTGAAAATGCCCAGGGAAGCGACCACGAACTCGCATCGAAAAGAGAAAATGAACCCTATAGAGAGATGATAGAGATAGGAAAGAAGACAACAAATGGAATAGAGAAGGAAAATCCATTGGACGACATAACTGACGCTAATCATAACGAAGATGAGATTAACGGCAGACTTGAGGAGAATGAAGCTGATAGAGGTAAGGAGAATTTCACTTACTTTCTATTTTAAAAATAATAGTGCATGTGTATCGTCTAAAGTTCGGTTATTGTTTTAATGCTCATTAGTCATTAATGGTGTTATAATAGGGCCACTGCCAATGGATATTTGCGCAAGTACAGCTTCATCTAGCAGTGCAATCCCGAACATTGATGTTACTGTGTTGCGAGGCCACACTTCCGAGGTTTGATGAATAATTGATAATTTTAACAACACGAATGTTAAGGTGTTAACTCTCTTGTGTTCTTCACAGGTTTTTACATGTGCATGGAACCCTGCTGGTTCGCTTCTCGCTTCTGGGTAAGCATACTCTCTAAACTTCTATTAATATATTCATTATAACCAACTTTTTATTAACATTTTTAAGCTTTCTCTCTAGCAATATACGATGTACGTGACAGCAGTGCCAATGAACTTGTTCCTCTTTTTCTTCAGGGCCGGAGATTCTACTGCCCGAATTTGGACCATGGATAAGCCATCCGTCCCCAATATGCAAAATGGACCTTCAAGTGTCGTATTAAGGCATTTTATGGAAACACCAAACAGCGAAAGCAAAGATGTGACGACACTTGATTGGAATGTGAGGGCTCTTTCGTATTTTTATGTTGTTTCCATATCGTTTCTTTTTATGAATATGGAGTGTGATATTGAATCATTCAATGTGCTGTCTAATAAGATTTTACAAAACTCATTTTACCCCTCTTACTATAACATGCTTTCTTACATAGGCTGAAGGAACACTACTTGCTACAGGTTCGAACGATGGTCGAGTAAAGATGTGGAGTGAACGTGGTGAGAGATGTTTCTCATATGGTTGACCTAACACGAAGATTAGTCTAATATATTAAACTTTTGATATATACTTGAATGTTGTCTTTTATTACAGGGGATTTAATTACTAGTTTGAATGAGCATAATGGGCCGGTTTTCTCTTTAAAATGGAACAAGAAAGGGGATTTTCTTCTGAGTGGGAGTAGGGACAAAACTGTAATTGTATGGGATGTTAAGACGGCAGAACGTAAACAACACTTCAAGTTTCACTCAGGTGCTTTTAAACTGTCTTTTTCTTTACTGGATATACTTGATTTGTTCATTATATATATTAGCTAACTTTCTTATCTCCCAGCTACTGTCCTTGATGTTGATTGGAGAAGCAATTTCTCTTTCGCAACATGCTCGAGTGATAGCATGATATATGTTTGTAAAGTTGGAACGGACCGACCATTGAAAACTTTTGCAGGGCATCAGGTTTGTTTGAGCTACACGTTCGATCTTGACATAGCATAACTATTTTTCTTTTTTTATCTTGTTTGTGTACCTCTTATGGTAGTTTTTGATTAGCTATCGCATTCTTGACATAGCAAATTTGTATTAATGCTTCTTCAGGGTGAAGTTAATGCTATAAAATGGGATCCCACTGGCTCCCTTCTAGCCTCGTGCTCTGATGATTTTACGGCAAAGGTTAGAGGCGTCTTTTGTGTACATTGAGTTCTTTGTCGTTTTATTAACGTAATTGACGATTGACAATTTCACCTTCATCTTGTTTATATGTTGACTATGGTGCAGATATGGACCATGAAAGAGGACAACTGCTTGATCAACCTAAACGAACATACCAAAGTATGATCCTAATACTATATATGTCTATTGCTCGTACTTTTATTTGATAAGTCGGTGAATCATTGTTTTTTTTGGAATGCATATTCTCTTTGTAGGAGATATACACTGTCAGATGGAGTCCAACAGGGACTGGGACCGATAACCCTAATCGTCAACTTGTTTTGGCAAGGTGATTTTTCTGCAATTTAAATAAATGACTAATTTCGTATCTTTGAATTTATTTTGGTTCACACTTTTATCGTGCTTTCTCGTTTTCCATTTCTCAGTGCTTCCTTCGATTCAACCATAAAGCTGTGGGATGTGGAAGCTGGGCGTATTCTCGATACATTATATGGGCACAGGTATCGACAAGAAAGAAAACGGCTCACTGAACCATTAAAATTATCTTGTTTAAATTACAACAAGGATTTGGTAGATTTTCCTAAGTGTTATTTTTTTTTTTTTTGTTCTTAATTGTGGTTTTCCGACAAATGAAATACAGGGATGCGGTTTATTCTGTTGCGTTTAGTCCAAACGGGGAATATTTGGCTAGTGGATCACTGGATAAATGTGTGCACGTTTGGTCGGTGAAGGAAGCCAGAATCGTGAAAAGTTACCGGGGAGAAGATGGCATCTTTGAAGTTTGTTGGAACAATAAAGGCGACAAGATCGCTGCTTGTTTCGCAAACAATGTGGTTTGCGTCTTCGATTTTCATATGTAGGAGTTTAAGATTGGGAAATTCTTAGATATACAATACAATGGTGTCTGAAAAATAATCTTGATTTTTTTGGAGATACATACAATAGGGTTTTGTTGTTGTAGCTAGCTTAAATGTACACCTTTGTTATTGGCCCTCTGTTGTATACATAAGGTTTCAGTTTGAGAAAAAAAAAAAAGAAAAAAAGAAGTCTAGCTAATTTTGTAAGCTATATTTATATTTTGTACTGAACTGTATTTACTATTTACTATTTACTATTTACTATTTACGTAGTTTTGTAAAAGAAAAATAATTTTTTAATATTCTAATTGGGTGTTTTTACTTTGGATATTATATTTATAGGGCAAATTACGGCCACCCCTCATTTATGGTCAACTTACGGAAAACCCCCTAATGTTTGGGTAATTACAGTCACCTCCATCAACTATGTATTATCTTATGAAAATACACGTTTAGAAGTAAATTTAGGGATGTTAAATTGGTATAACCGAAACGAAATTCCGGTACGTCAATATTTCATACTGTTTACCGAATTGAATATATGATTTGGTTCGGTAAATTATCGAATTACGTAAATTTTATGTAAAAATATTTAGAAGAAGGGAGTGGCTGTAATTACCCAAATAAGAGGGAGTTTTTCGTAATTTGGTCATACCTCAGGGGTGATCGTAATTTGCCCTATAAATAAATATATTTTTTATTATATAGTTTTTATTTTCTTTTTCTTTTTTGTCTTTTTACCCAACAATTTGAACTTACTTTGAAGCAATTTTCTCAATTCAGTCCCACTCCATTAACAATACAAGTAATGTAAAAGCTCAATACTATTAATAATATATAAATTTGATAAAATTTTCAAGTATGTCAACATAAATCATAATCAAGAAGAAGAGCAGAAAAACTTCCTAAAGGAAAAAAAACATATATTGTAGCCTATCTATGTTAGTAATGGACTAATCTACCCTTCCGGCGAAGCTGGCAGCAGAAAAAACCCCATATGGATTCAACGAAGAACACAAGCAGAGAGGCCTCGATCTCTTTCGTACACCACCACTTTTATGTACATTTCCCCTTCGATTCCAAGCCTTCAAGACCAGTGCCCTAGTTACAATCTCTAGCGATATCGAAAAAAGACTCGGGTATTTCCGATGGCGGGGTCAGTTCCGATACGCATTTGAACTGTTACAGAAAAATAAAATCAAAAATCAGAGTTAGTATACAGTATGAAATAAGTTAGCATCAAATGAAATGAAACGTGTGAAGCGGTTGATATACGAACCTTGTGTTGCTTGTATTTATCCCTCACGGCTACCAAAGCACCACTTCTTTTCTTCGATTGCAAGTCGTGCAGAATGCACACGCATTCTTTTAGATCCGCGGCTTTGTATCCCGATTGGTTTTCTAGAGCCGAACTCTGTTTTAAGAAAAAACACGAATTCTTTACTCAGCTCAAGAAAGATAATTGCAAATATTAAACAATGTAATAAAACGTTTAACAAGAGCGGTTTTTACCCAAGGATGTAGCTTAGGTTGAAGTGTAAATCTCGATAAGAACATCACTGATGCAGCCACCACAGACGGCAAGAATTTCACACATCCGTAATCGAGCAGACTTAGTTCTGCTAAGTAGTAGCCCAAGAACTCCAATTGCAAACTCGAATCCTGCAATAAGACAACACACATGAGAATCACTTGATATAAATTGTCGTAAACAAACAAAGATAATTGTGTAACCTAAGCAATAAGCTTACCTCAAAATCTTCTTGAGCAATTCTGGTGAATTTTCTGCAAGACCAAACAAAAAACGAACGAGCAGACTTTTAGCCAAACGGGATTCTTATGATATTACAAGAAATCGAAACAGCAAATCTACGGTGATAGTTTCCTACCTGAGAAACGTCTTCACTGTAGGATTCCCCATTTCGAATTTGAGGGATTTAAGCACGTGAGCCTCCATATCTACCACATCTTCCTTGGTGTACGTGTTATCGGTTATGTAGCAAAAATCTTCGACATGTGGAGGACTAATCTCCTCGTATTTCCTATACAAAAACCCAATATCCGCAAAATTAGCGTATAACAAAATGATTGCTCGAGAGTGGGATTTTTTTAAGGCGAAAAATGATGTTTCTTACGAGGCGATGAGCATTGAAGAAACACCGAGAAGCTGAAGCTTTTGCCGACTGATAACATTCATAGACAAGAATCTGTCGATGTACGAAACGGTTAGATACAATGTATCCGATAGAAGCTTGTACTCCTCCGCCACCTCAACCAACCAATCCACCAAAACCCCTCTCATGTTTGCAGTTACATCTTTCTGAATCTTCTCCAAATAATCGGACATCGGCCTTCTCTTAGCTTCCATCTGGATTTCAAAATTCAGATTCATTATAAAAAAATCCCAACTATAAATTCATTTTTTTATTGTAGGTGGGGTTTGATTAAATCAGCCAAAAAGATAGCTTTTTTATAACAATGAAACCCTAATCCATGAACAAAATCAACCCGATTTTCAAAGAATCTGAATCACCAAACGAAACCCACCAATCAAATCCAAAAACCCAACAAATCAAACAAATTTTTAAGGAAAGAAAAAAATGAAATTGCAATGAAGACCAACCTCCATTGTATGAAGATATTCATAGATATCAGAAACATAGGCTCCACACATCTGGGGATCGTCGCATTTCGCAACGGAATCAATTGCAGGATCAATTACCACCTTCAAACCCTTGGTTTCAGTGGGACCCACTTTCGATTTCTTCACATTCCTCTTGGGCTTACTCTTCAGCTTCTCACTCTCAACACTAAGCTTCTGTTTCTTGCTCAAACCCCCATCTTGTGAAGGAAGCACGTTCTGAATCTCGCCCAGAACAACCCTCTTCCTCTTGTTCTGATCGGAATCCGCCATAGCCTCCGCCGCTCTCTTCTTCGCCGCCAAACGGGTGACCCTCATGCAGTTTCCTTGGTCCGCCATTGGAGATCGAGAGTGCTCGAAAATGGAGAATCCAAGATAGAACTACACAGAGAAAGACGGAGAGGGAGAGCGAGTGGGTTGTTTGTGAGAGAGAGGAGATGGGTTTTGAGTTTATAATAAGCTGAAAATGGTGTGGTGAGTACCGCCATTAACATTTAGCAGAGGTGTTTGAAATTTTTTTGGGGTGAGCGCGCAGACGCTGAAAAAAAAAACTTTGAACCAAAATTGAAAAAAAATTAAAGGGTTTTCTTGATTTGGTTTTGAGGTGCCCAAATTTTGAGTTTTGACCCGGGCAGGCAAGCTGTAAAAAAAAATTGAAATTGGAAAATGTTTTCAAGATTTCATTTTTCCCGGGTTAATTTTTTATGTTTCTTTTCTTTTGGGTATTTGGAGCGGGCGGGATTCTTATTTGGTAACCACACTTGAAAAAGTTCAAGTTATTATCCCAAATAATTTAGGGTTTTCAATTTGAAATAACAAAAATAAAAAATAAAAAAATATTTTTTTTTTATTTTCGATAATAATATTTCAGCAACTATTCAATGTAGGGGTAGAAAAATCGTATGGATTGGATCAAATTTAGTACTTTCGGATAAATTTTAATTTTTTTTCGAAAGTGGAAAACTAATTTCAATTATGTTATCGAATAAATTGAAATATTGAAATGTCGAAAATTATAATGACAAAACTTGTTCCTTAATTGAAAATTCAAATTTCTTTAATCCACATATATTATTAAATACGATTTTCAAAAGAAAATGAATTAGAATTTTAAAATTTTAAAATTTGATTGAATTCATTTATGTATTCAATAGAAAATTAAAAAATCAGATTTTTGAAGTTCATAATGACAATTATTGTTCAAATTTTGAAAATTTTGGATTAAAATCGGTCAAAATCGAAAATCTCATTCCAAATTTGATCCCTTATTATACTAGCAGAAAATAACGCTTTTTTATAAATCGTAGTTGCTCTCAAATTTATTGGTTTAATTTATTAAATTTAAAATGGACATGTAATCCCATGCTAATAACTGCATGCTTTTACATTTCTAATTGTCTGTATACATAATTAGCCACTGTATGGGCTTCAACTTCATGAATATACAAATCAAGAATCAACATATATTTTCACCAACAAGTCGACGATGTTTGTCAAGTATCTCCTCGACATTCTTGAGCTTGCGAAGTGCTTCTTTAATGGAGATACGAGCATCAGCTGACTCAGCAGCACAAGACAAACCAATACCAACGACCGTAGTCAGGCATTCTCGCCAGCTTTCGAGCTTACTGCAATCCCTGCCATCTTCTTCTTCCTCCTCCCAATAATCGTTCATCTCCTCAACCAGGCCGATTTCTAGAACCTTCTCCACATCAGTCAGAAATTGATTTTCCACCCAACTCTTTAGTGTTAAACCTTCTGTAAAGATCTCACATGTGGGACTCTTCCCCGCAAACAGCTCTAGCAGAAGAATCCCATAGCTATACACATCTCCAGCGGTCGATGGTCTTTCTCCGTATCCATATTCTACCAACATTAATAATAATAATAATAATAATTTCAAGAAATGTATCATTATATTATACATATATGTAGTTGATTGCAAATGAGTTGTTGTAAGTGGAGCTAACCTGGAGGTATGTAGCCGATAGAACCCCTGAGAGTGTGCGTATAACTGAGAGAAATCTGGTTGTTGTCTGTATCCAACAATAACTTGGCAAGACCGAAATCTGCAACCTTCGGAGTCATGTCTGAATCCAGCAAAACATTACTCGGCTTCAAATCACAATGCACAATCGGAACTTCCGTTTCGTTATGCAAATAGTCGATCGCCGATGCAATTCCTATTGCACATTTTACTCTGTCCAAAGCATTCATTCCAATCGTCCCATTTGCATGCTTTCTTTTCCCAGTTATCCAATCATCCAAACTCCCGTTGCTCATAAACTCGAACACCAACGCAAGAAACTCCTCCTTCTTCGAGTCTATACTCGAACACACAGTAACGAGTTTCACAAGATTTCGATGCCTTACATTTCTCAAAGCTGCACACTCTGCTAGAAAAGTCTTTCGTGGTTTAGCTACCGCATTATTAAGGACCTTGACCGCCATAGTCACTCCTTGCACAACTCCTCTGTAAACAAGCCCAAAACTTCCATGCCCGATAAGATTTTCGTCACTGAAATTACCAGTTGCAACACGGAGCTCGTCGTAAGAAATCATTTGAGGTTGTCCCTTTACAGATTGATGATCAAACGGTCCCTTCTTGGTCATCTTTTTTCCTTTTCGAATGTACCATATCAAGCCAACCGCGAAACAAATAGACACTAATGCAGCAACACTTATTAGGATATAAGTAAAGGTGGATTTCCTCCTTCGACCGGGAATTTCACAGGACAAACCCGAGCAGAGTCTCTTATTGTTATCGAAGTGAACTTTCGAAAGATCTTTGAAAATTCCACCACTCGGGATCTGTCCTTCCAAGTTATTGAAAGAGAGATTCAAGAATTGCAGCGACTGCAAGTTCTGGAGGTTTGATGGTACTTTTCCGGTGAGCTGGTTTCTCGAAAGGTCCAGAGTTTCCAATCCTTTGACAGATGCTAAAGTGTCGGGAATTGGACCAGACAACATGTTTCTAGCAAGCGACAGTTGCTCCAAACTCTGACACATCCCAATTGAGTTTGGAATATTCCCTGATAACATGTTGTCGGAAATGTTGACCACTGCAACTTTTTCTAGTGACCCGATTTCTACAGGTATAGAACCGGTGAGTTGATTACGAGATAGATTAAGGAATGAACTTAATCCAGGGAGATTGAGGATTTCTACTGGTATACTTCCATTCAGCATGTTATCAGACAAGTCCATGGATATCAAGTTTTGGAGGTTCCCAAAAGTGCTGGGTATACTTCCGACAAACTTATTCCGGGATAGATCAATCTTGGTTAGGAATTGGAGATTGCCTAAAGAATCAGGGATTTTTCCAGATAGATTATTATCAGCTAATCCCAAAACCCTCAATTCTTTTAACAGCCCGATTTGAGGTGGAACTTCACCAGAAATAAAAGTACTATAGCTCATATTCAATAAATCCAAGCTCCTAAGCTCACCAATTGAAGGTGGAATAGTACCATATATATTATTCCCACCCATGTACAATTTTGTGAGAACTTTGGAAAGATTGCCTATGGAATTGGGGATTTCGCCCTCGAAAAGGTTGTAATCGAAAGTGAGGAAGTTCAATCGGGTGCTGTTTGACAAAAGCTCGAGAAAATCGAAGTTTCCGACGATGCGATTGAATCCTATGTTATACATTTCTAGATTTGGGAGGTTTCCAAGGCCTGGGGGTATACTCCCATGCAAAAGGTTATGGGCGATTCGAATTATCTGTATGTTTGTGAGGTTGTGCAGAGATGAAGGGATAGTACCTGTGAATTTATTGAAGCAGAAATTGAACCCTAGGAGATTGGGCAAAGTGGTTCCGATGTCTGGAGGGAGTTCGCCCCAGAAATTGTTGGAAGCTAAAGCGACGTACACCAAGGAGGACATGTTGTACATCGACGGCGGAACCCTACCGGAGAAATTGTTGATGGTGAGATCGAGGAATTTCAAATTCGAAAGCCGCCACAAATCGTCGGGAATTGTACCCGGCCCTAAATTGTTGGTGCCTAGGTTTAAATCGACGAGGGAGGAAATGTTGGTGAATGACGGCGGAATATCACCTGTGAGCTGATTCCCGGCCAAATTCAGGGTTTGAAGCTGCGTGAGTTGGCTGATTTCGTGAGGGATTCTTCCCCAAATCCGATTCTGCGTCAATTCCAGCGTGGTGAGATCTCTGCACCGGCTTATTGCCGGAGGTATTTCTCCGTTGATGCTGTTGAAACTGAGGTTCAAATTTGTGAGGCGAGAGAGACCGCCGATCTGGTCGGGGATTATTCCGGTGAGCTGATTGTTCTGCAAGTGGAGTGATCGGAGGGAGGAGAGGTTACCTAAGTAAGGGCTAATCGAACCGGCCATTCTGAGACCGGAGAGATCGAGACCGGTGACTCGTTGCTCGGTGCAGGAAACACCGGACCAGTTGCAGGGAGAGAGATTTTGTTGGTCCCATGTTGAGAGAGGGTTATTGGGAATTTCGACGAGGAATTGTGACTTTAATGAAAGCAATGCTTCCTTGTCGGTGGTGATGCTTAATGCTGGGGAAGAAGAAAACGGCGGCGGCGGCGGCGGCTGAGAAGTAACGAGAACAAGAAGAATAGTGAAGAACTGGATAATATTAATGGCGGAGTTGCCAAAAGAAGAAGAACCCATCTTCTTCCCTGCAATAACTCTGAATTAAGATTTTACATTTATATACGTGAAAAAGTGAATAGAAAACTACCACGTGGCGTGTTATTATTGGATGCATTAATTCATTGACGAATTCGTTCCCAGTCTTGAAAGCAAACGAGACTTGGGAGTCTACGGAGTAATATTAAATTATTAACGTCTAAATCCATCATTAACTATATATTATATTTAATTTAATTTAATTTATTTACTTGAATTACTCAAAAAAAAATAAAATATTCCGAGTTAATAACCATGCGGATACTATCTGAAAATGTGAATGAACGTCGAATAACCATGCAAAGTTTACATGCACGTGTATTAGTTTCTCTTTAGGGCTTGTTTTAAAGGAGGACTACTAAGATTAATAAAAATAAAAAATGGGTTTTGTTTCTACGAATTATTATATTTTAAATAAAAAATGTAATTAAATTATGCAAAGTGAATTGTATTTTTGAAATTGATAACTTCTTTTTACAAGTAACGTGTATTGAATTAGTCACAACTAGGATCACACTATGACATAACATTCATAATTTCACGTAGGTGGTCTGCACTGCAGATTGCAACTCACTTAGTCAAAAGTCAAGTCAATTGCATCACAATTCACAACTCACAGCTACAATTCTTGTTCACTTGTTGTAAAATTTCCACCATAACGTAGAGAAAAAAATTTATAGCCCTCGTAGCTTTTGTTTCGAGAGACGTACATTCGAAATCGTTTTGGAAGTTATTTTTATTTTATTTTGGGAAAATATATTTTAAAGGAGTAATTTGAGGATTAATGTAATATTTGTTTATAATTTGAAACGAAACAAGATACACTGTAGCAGTCAAATCATGTTTAAAGTTATTGAAAAATTTATATTTTAGAAGAAGAATTTTAAAAATAAAATGGTATTTGTTTGTTTATTCAGTGAAGATATTTTTTACTTAGAAGTGAATTTCTTTTCTACCGTAGCAGTCAAATCGTATCTGGATGTGAGAGAAGCTCTAGAAATTGTTTTCGAAATTATTTTTAAAAAGCCTAACAAGCACAAATTTGTTTCCGATAAATAATAACAATGAAATGGAAACGAAACCAAACACTACCATAAGAATTTTCTAATAAACTATAAGTTTGACAATTTCTTCAAAATATTTATAGCCTCAAATTTCATGTGTAAAGCCATATAAGGGATGATAAAGTCATGAATTGGACAGTTTGACAAACGGGGAACATGTCTTAATTGACATAGAAACTTTTAATGTGATGAAACTAATGACATGGACCGGAGTATCAAAACTTACTACGAATACATTTATTTTCGATTTTTTCGACTTTTTTGTTTTTGAACTGATCAAGATTAATCTTTCATTTTTGAAAAAAAAAATGAAATCCGTTCGATTTCACCCCTAGTTGTTCATGTTAGTTCCGGTGATAGGCCGTGTTCACTTGTTGAAGAAACCTCTGCACAAGTCAATGAGTCATTGTACGCCGCCCTGTCGAAAAAATACGGCCCTATTTTCTTTCTGCAGCTCTGTTAACGACGGCGTCTTTTTCAACATGCCCCGTCTTTTGGTTTAATTTCTTTAATTTACATATGGACTCGAATATGATAAAAATTGTCTATATATATAATCTGTGCTTGTATGGGCTTAACTCGATGAATTTACATACTAAGAATCAATATATATAGTTTCCCCATCATCAACAAGTTGACGATGTTTGTCAAGTATCTCCTCGACATTCTTGAGCTGACGAAGTGCGTCTTTAATGGAGATACGAGCATCAGCTGACTCAGCAGCACAAGACAAACCAATACCAACGACCCTAGTCAGGCATTCTCGCCAGCTTTCGAGCTTACTGCAATGCCTGCCCTTTTCTTCCTCCTCCCAATAATCGTTCGTCTCCTCAACTAGACCGAGTTCTAGAACTTTCTCCACGTCAGTCAGAAATTGATTTTCAACCCAACTCTTTAGTGTTAAACCTGCTGTAAAGAAATCACACGTGGGGCTCTTCCCTGTAAACAGCTCTAGCAGAAGAATCCCATAGCTATACACATCTCCAGCTGTCGATGGTCTTTCGCCGTATCCATATTCTACCAACATTAATAATGATAATAATAATTTCAAGAAATTGGAATAACAGATATAAGAAATTATACATGAAGTTTATGGCAAAATAAATCAGTTGTACATATAGCTAACCTGGAGGTATGTAGCCAATAGAACCCCTGAGAGTGTGTGTACAGCTGATAGAAAATCGGTCGTTGTCCGTATCGTCCAACAATAACTTAGCAAGACCAAAATCTGCAACCTTTGGAGTCATGTCCGAATCCAGCAGAACGTTACTCGGCTTCAAATCACAATGCACAATTGGCACTTCAGTTTCGTTGTGCAAATAGTCGATCGCCGATGCAATTCCTATTGCATATTTCAGTCTGTCCGTAGCAGTCACTCCGATCCCGTTTGCATGCTTTCTTTTCCCAGTTATCCAATCATCCAAGCTCCCATTGCTCATGAACTCGAATACCAGAGCAAAAAACTCCTCATTCTTCGAGTTCAAACTCGAACAAGCAGTAACGAGTTTCACAAGGTTCCGATGCCTCAAATATCTCAAAGCTCCACACTCTGCTAAAAAGGTCTTTCGTGGTTTAGCTACCGCAGTATTGAGGACCTTCACCGCCATAGTCACTCCTTGCACAACTCCTCTGTAAACAAACCCAAAGCTCCCATATCCGATAAGATTTTTCTCGCCGAAATTATCCGTTGCAAAACAGAGCTCCTTGTAAGAAATTATTTGAGGCTTTCTCTCTCCGGATTGATCATCATCAAACAAGTCCTCGATCATCGTCTTTTTGGCTTTTCGAACGTACCATATCAAGCCAATCACAAAACAAATAGACACTAAAGCAGCAACACTTATCAGGATATAAATGAAGGCGGATTTCCTCCCTCGACGGGGAAATTCACAGGAAAAACCCGAGCAGAGTCTTTTGTTGTTATCGAAGTGAAATTTCGAATGATCTTTGAAAATTCCACCACCGGGTATTTCTCCTTCCAAGTTATTGAAAGAGAGATTCAAGAATTGTAGTGACTGCAAGTTCTGGAGGTTCAATGGTATTTTTCCGGAGAGCTGGTTTGCGGAAAGATCGAGAGTTTCCAATCCTCTGACCAATCCTAAAGTGTCTGGAATCGGACCAGACAACATGTTTCTAGCAAATGACAGATGCTCCAAACTCTTACACCTCCCAATGGAACTAGGAATACTGCCTGATAACATGTTGTCGCAAATGTTGATCACTGCAATATTTTCTAGCGACCCGATTTCTACAGGTATGGAACCGGTGAGTTGATTTCGAGATAGATTAAGGAAGACACTTAATTTGGGGAGATTGAGAATTTCAATAGGAATACTTCCATTTAGCATGTTATCAGACAAATCAATGGATATAAGGTTTTGGAGGTTCGTAAAAGTGTTGGGTACGCTTCCGACAAACTTATTCCTGGATAAATCAATCTTGATTAGATGTTGGAGATTGCCTAAAGAATTAGGGATTTTTCCAGACAACTTATTACCAGCCAATCCCAAAACCCTCAATTCGTTCAACAGCCCAATCTCTGCCGGAATTTCGCCGGAGATCGAACAATAGCTCATATTCAGTAAATCCAATGCCCTAAGCTCACCGATGGAAGATGGTATAGTACCGTGGATATCATTCCCACCCATGTACAACTTTGTGAGAACTTTGGAAAGATTGCCTATGGAATTGGGGATTTCACCCTTGAAAAGATTGAAATCGAAAGCGAGGAAGTCCAATCGGGTGCTATTTGTCAAAAGCTCGAGAATATCTAGACCCGAATTTCCGACAATTCTGTTGAATCCTATGTTATAGATTTCTAAATTTCGCAGGTTTCCAAGCCCTGGTGGAATACTCCCATGGAAGAAGTTACGAGCCATTTGAATGGTCTGTATGTTTGTGAGGTTGTGTAGAGATGAAGGAATAGTACCTGTGAATTTATTGAAGCAGAAATCTAACCCTAAAAGATTCGGCAAGGTGATTCCGATATCTGGAGGGAGTTCGCCCCATAAATTGTTGGAAGCTAAGGCGACGTACACCAAAGAGGACATGTTGTATATCGACGGCGGAACCGTACCGGAGAGATTGTTGATGGTGAGATCGAGAAACTTCAAATTGGAAAGGCGCCACAAATCACTAGGAATGGAACCCCCTAAATTGTTCGTGCCTAGGTTCAAATCGACGAGCGAAGAAATGTTGGTTAAGGAGGACGGGATTTCACCTGAAAGCTGATTTCCGCCCAAATTCAGGATTTGGAGCTGCATGAGTTGGCTGATTTCGTGAGGGATACTTCCCCAAATCCGATTCTGCATCAATTCCAACGTCGTGAGATCTCTGCATCCGCTTATAGTCGATGGTATTTTTCCAGTCAGTTGATTGTTCTGCAAGTGGAGTGATCGGAGGGAGGAGAGATTACCTAAGTAAGGGCTTATCGAACCGGTCATTCCGAGACCGGAAAGATCGAGACCAGTCACTCGTTGTTCGCTGCAGGAAACACCGGACCAGTTGCAGGGAGAGAGGTTTTGTTGGTCCCATGTTGAGAGAGGATTATTCGGAATTTCGACATGAAATTGCGACTTTAGAGAAAGTAAGGCCTCCTTGTCGGTGGTTATGCTGAAAGGGGAAGAAGATGATGGTGGCGGCGGCGGCAGCCGCTGAGAACTAACAAGAACAAGAAGAACACTGAGGAAGTAGACAGAGTTGAGAGAACCCATCTTTTTGACTGTCTGTCGTAACTGGTAAAACTGATTTCATTCCCTGTTTTAGAAACCAAAACGAAACTTTGACAATTTACCGAGTCAATGTAGGCAGCTTGAGAGTTTACAGAGTCATATTAAAGAACCACCTCTTTTTTTCCCCTTTCTTTTTACATAAGAGCACACAAATCGTTGAAAAATGTTACACATATAAATTGTTTTATTTGAGTTAAATTGATATAATATTAATTTGGTTGACAAATGGTGTAGTTGAAAAATCTTACATTTGATTCTCCCCAAATTAAGAGATGGGCCTGTTTATATTTAGTTGCTCAAAGTCCTCGTCGCCGCCGCAAGCTTCAAAATCTTCGTCCGGGCTGTTTTCTGACCTTTCCGATGATAGGTCATTTTCACTTGCTCCAGAAGTCTCTGCACAAGACAATTGTCCAGAGAGTTTTCTATATTTCTGGTGGATTTGAAATTTTACTGTTGTTGTGAGTTATAATAAATTCAAGAATCTAACCACAATTAATAAAGTAATGCCATAAGTTTTCCAAGCAGGCCACTTGTTTCATCGTGCTTTATTTATTATTTCTTCCCATAAAAATATCTCCTTTTTGCAGTCACTACAGCCAATTTGGAAAACTTACAATAATGCAAATGCAAAGAAAATATTATATTCAATATGCAGAAACCATGGGAAAAACAAACTTACTAATCTAAGCAGGCAATACCATGTGGGATGATGCTTTGACTTATCAGAAGTCTTGATATAACTCCAATTATTCAACCATCCATCTTCATCATCTCCCATCAAGATGTATACACTCTACATTTATCTTTCTCTTCTCCTCTCAATTCTCTATATCACAACTCTGTATATTCTACACAAGCTCCAAAATCTCCCTCCAACACCGTTTCCATCTCTACCGTTCATAGGCCATCTCTACCTTCTCAAGAAGCCTTTCCACCGCTCCCTAACTGAGCTCTCCAAACGCTATGGTCCCATAATCTTCCTCCACTTCGGGTCCCGCCCAGTCATTCTCGTTTCGTCTCCTTCTCTTGCAGAAGAATGCTTAACCAAAAACGACATAATTTTCGCAAACCGCCCTTCTCTCCTCAACGGGAAACACTTCGGCTACAACTACACCAGCCTCCCGTGGTGCCCATACGGTGATCATTGGAGAAATCTCCGAAGAATCGCTTCTCTTGATCTGCTATCCTCACACAGAATACAGATGATGTCACAGATACGGGGCGATGAAATCCGAATCTTGATCCGAAAACTACTTTCTCTAGCCGGAGAAAATCCTGGTGGAGCGGTGTACGTGAAAGAAGCCCTGTTTGAGTTCACCTTCAATGTCATGACGAGGATGGTTTGTGGGAGGAGGTTTTTCGGGGAGAGTGTTGAGAGATCGAAAGAGGCGGAGGATTTTAAGGATGTAATAAATGAGATTTCGAAGGTTGTCCCCGATGCGCAGGTTCTTGATTTTCTACCTTTCATGAAATGGTTTCGATTTCGAGACACGGAAACGAAGATGGCGGTGATACAACAGAAACGTGACAGGTTTATGCAGAATATCTTAGAACAGCATCGTGGGCTGGATATTGATTCCTCCTATGCTGCAGCTAGAGAGAAGAAAACCATAGCAGAAATTTTACTTGAGAAGCAAAAAGAGGAACCGGCTTATTACACAGATGAAATGATCAGAAATCTTCTATTGGTGAGATTTTATTGTTCTTTTATCAGATTGGGTGAACCGATTGGTTTTCATGTCTGTCTCTACAGGTTCTGATTCAAGCAGGGTCCGATACGACGTCGAATACACTGGAGTGGGCATTTTCACTTCTTCTCGAAAACCCTAGGGCTTTAGAAAGATCCCAAATTGAAATCGACGATCTCGTGGGTGATAACAAACGTCTGATTGATGAATCGGATTTGGGCAAACTCCCGTACCTCCACCGCGTCATCTACGAAACCCTGCGGCTGCAGCCCGCCGCGCCGCTGCTAATGCCGCACAAATCATCGGCGGATTGCGAAATCGGGGGCTACTGCGTTCCAGGTGGAACGATGCTATTGGTGAACGCGTGGGGAATTCAGCGTGATCCTAGGGTTTGGGAGGAGCCGGAGAAGTTCAAACCGGAGAGATTTGAAGACTCTGAAGGCGGGAAGAGTGTCATCGGGTGCAGCAGGTGGCTGGCGTTTGGATCGGGGAGGAGGGCGTGCCCCGGCGAGAACATGGCGGTGCGAGTGGTGGCGCTGGCTTTGGGGACGCTGATACAGTGCTTCGATTGGGAGAAGATTAGCGCAATTGACATGAGTGAAGGCACTGGGCTTACGGCGCCGAAGGTTGAACCGTTGACTGCAAAATGCAGTCAACGCCCGGAAATTGCGGATCTTCTTTCTCAAATTTAGAGCGGTACGAGTGTTGATTTTGTTAAGTTTGATGCTCAGCTTTTGGATTACCATTTATTTATTACTTTTATAGTTTTTTATTCACATGATTTAATGTATATTACTATATTTAGTTCCTAGTAGAATAAATCATACGGTCACATCACCGAGATAAGATTGAATTACGAAGTCTCTTTTATTTGCGTAATTATAAGAACTCGTTAACTATGTATTTCCTTACACGTTCACCTTTATGTTGTCAAATTTACATAAGGATGTTCATCGGTTGGTAAACCGAACGAAAATTCGGTACATGCCAATGACTGAACCGGTAATTCAGTTCGATATTCAGTTGTTTTATATATATATTGAATATTAGTATTTAATCTAAAATTAATTTAAAAAACTACAATAATAACTAAAAAACAAAAAAAAAATATTTTTAATAAAATTTTGATAATTCGATTATTTTACCGAATGAACATCTCTAAATTTACCAACTGGAAGAAGTTTCTTTTTTTTTTTAAGACAACATAGTTAATGGGTGGCTGTAATTATGTAAACAAGAGGAGTTTTTTCGTAATTTGATATCGCCTCGGTTGGCTGTAATTTTCCCTAAATCTATGATTTTTTAATTTTATTAGTTTTGTCGTTTTAATAGCATATAAAAATTCAAAAATAATAAATATTATTTTGAAATAAATAAAATTATTGCTTATGAAGCCATGTGGGCTTATGTTAGGTGATCTTGGGCTTGAACAATTATATTGGACTAGCTTGAATTTATTAAAAATGATACCATCTGAACTTGTTGATCTTAATTCTATGGGCTTTAGCCCATCACATATTATCAAGTCAACTCACGATCTCTTAAGCGTGACTAGAATCTAGGTCAACCCAATTAAATGCCTCAACTCGAATCTAAATTTGAATTTAGTAATTGTAATAAATAAATAAGATCAAAATTAATTAGAATCTGATAGTCAGATTCTGAATCCCAATTTTTTTTTTTTCGAATTCCAATTCTTTTAATACCATTACATAATATAGTAGTAATTAACAACCTTATAAAAGTGTTCCAAAATCAATACTTTTTGTACAATTAAATTCTATAAATTAATACAGTTTAGACTAGCAAAATCAAAAATTTATAAATTTAGTAAAATATTAAATTATCGAATTAATAATTTATTATATTGTAATTGAGTTGGGACGCACATGTATTATTAATTAAGCGAAATTATTAATTTATCTCGATTTTACTGTACTATTATGTTCCAAAATAACCGGGCCAAATTACGCAAAGCCCTTTACATAGCAAAGGTACTAATTACCGGCACGCAAGTACAAACCCCAACAACTCAAATTAATAAGACAATAATACCCCCAAATAAGTCCAGCGTGTCAAGTTCTGATTGGTCGTCTTCAATTTTATTAACAAAACAAAAGTATGTACAGTACACGTACATGTAGCGTAACAAACCTCTCCTGCTAATCTATAAATTCGAGAACACGGCCACCACTAAATCTGTTTCCTGTCACCCTCCACCCCCACGCGCCGCCGTTTCCCAGCAAAAGTACAAACCCCCTTCAGCTAAACGGAAATACAACATCGTATAGTAATTAGTCCTATTAATCCAATGAATTCACCCCCACCACAACACCATGCAGTCTCAATTTCTGCCCCAGGATTAGAATCGCAACAACTACAATCGCGCGAGCAAGAAGACAGGGAGGAAGAATCGCACCGTCTATTGCCCTCGTCGGCGTCCCCTTCGTCCGAAGCCGCTCTCGTTAAATCAGGGGGAAATTGCGATGGCGTCGCCGGCGACGACGAAGAAGCGGCGTACGATAGCCGGGAGAAGATCCTGATCGAGGATTTCGAATTGGATTCGCCGACTTGCTCCACCGTGCCGCCGTTTTCGTTTAAGAAGCTATGGCTGTTCACGGGCCCGGGTTTTCTGATGAGCATAGCGTTTTTAGATCCGGGGAATCTCGAGGGGGATCTTCAGGCGGGCGCAATTGCCGGTTACTCGCTGCTGTGGCTGCTGATGTGGGCGACGGCGATGGGTCTGCTGATTCAGCTTCTGTCGGCGAGAATCGGGGTGGCGACGGGGCGGCACTTGGCGGAGCTCTGCCGCGAGGAGTATCCGTTTTGGGCGGGGATAGTTTTGTGGATCATGGCGGAGCTGGCGTTGATCGGGGCGGATATTCAGGAGGTGATTGGAAGTGCGATTGCTATTCAGATTTTGAGCCGGGGGTTTCTGCCCCTTTGGGCTGGTGTTCTAATTACTGCTTCTGATTGGTAATTTTTTTCCTCCTTTTCTTTAAAGTGAATTTTTGAAAGATATGAATGCAATTTTTATTCTTTTTAATGCATAAACATTGTTATGAACTTGAATTTACTTACTTAAAAGGTTAGGAAATTAGTAAATTTAAGCTCGATCGAAATTTAGTTTTCGATTTACCTCTTTACAGTGATTTAACTTGTAGATTCGGAGTAATTCGTTTTTTAACCATCTTTTTATGTAATTTAATTATATAGTGTGGGTTGTTAGTAGTCCACTAATTTATGTGGAAGCCAGTATCACTTGACACTTTTATTGGTGCAAACTACTTTATCGTAAACTCGATCTTTTTTAATGCTTCACTTTGGCTGTGTGATCCTACTCAGGAAACCACTACTTTAGTCTTTACGGTTGTTGATTACACGCAAGTCTGTGTTTGTCTTTTACACGACGAGTTGTTGATCACTGAAATTATCTTCCGTGAAATTTGTTTTACAGCTTTGTGTTTTTACTACTTGAGAATTACGGAGTGAGGAAGTTGGAAGCTGTTTTTGCAGTTCTCATTTCAACTATGGCGCTATCGTTCGCTTGGATGTTTGCCGATGCTAAGCCAAACAAGACCGAGCTTCTAATCGGTTAGATCCTTAACAGTAATTCTGCAAATTAAAGAAACGATTTTTTGATGCAAAACTTACCAAGAAAAATGAATTTTCCACATTCGTGATAGGTCTTTTGATTCCGAAACTTAGCTCAAGAACAATTCGTCAAGCCGTGGGAGTTGTGGGTTGTGTAATAATGCCACACAACGTCTTTCTACACTCTGCTTTGGTACAATCAAGACAAGTTGACCCGAAAAAGAAAGGTCAAGTCCAGGAGGCAATCAACTACTACTCCATCGAATGCACAGCTGCCCTTCTCGTCTCTTTCATGATCAACTTATTTGTCACAGCTGTATTTGCAAAGGGGTTTTACGGAACTAAACAAGCAAACAGTATAGGCCTAGTAAATGCAGGACAGTACCTTGAGGAAAAATACGGCGGAGGGTTTTTTCCGATTCTTTATATATGGGGTATCGGATTATTGGCAGCGGGGCAGAGTAGTACGATAACCGGAACTTATGCTGGGCAATTTATAATGGGAGGGTTTCTTAATCTACGTTTAAAGAAGTCGTTAAGGGCATTGATTACTCGAAGCTGTGCTATTATACCGACTATAATAGTAGCGTTGGTTTTCAATAAATCGGAATCTTCTCTAGATGTACTGAATGAATGGTTAAATGTGCTGCAATCGGTACAGATACCGTTTGCACTTATCCCACTTCTTACATTAGTGTCGAAGGAGCAAATTATGGGAGTCTTCAAGATCGGCCCTACACTTCAGGTTAGTCAACAGTTTCGTCTCTTCCTTTATTAGTACAGTAGAATCTCGATAAATTAATAACATCGTTTAAATAATAAAATTTTCTGGTCTCGACTCGGGGACAACGTGCTAAGAAGCCCCATATAGTATATAAATTTATAATGCATAAAAATAATTCTTAAATTACATGGTACAGTACATATTTTATAGATCTATGAATATAATTTAATTATCGCATGTTTCTTGTTGAAGTTCACATTACCATCAATCTCGTCCCTCACTTTTCTTAACATGGTTAGAACTTTCGGTATAGTTTTCTGATAACTCAACATAAAATCGTTCTATATCATTGTTGCTTTAAGAGCTTCTGTTCGTGAAACGGGCTCTATAGTGCATTAAACTAATGGTACAATAAATAATATAAACGTAAAAAATAAAAAAATAAATGTATCTATTGAAAATAACTTCATAAATTAATAAGTTATTAATTAACATATAAATTAATAATTATTAATTTATCGATAAGTTAATATTTCGCTAAATTAATGAAATTTTGATAGTCCCAACTCTATTAATTTATAGAGGTTTAATTGTACATTGCAATCTTGATTTTCTTGATTTAATGAAAACCGAGCGATTTCTTTTGTTTTTGTAGAGGGCTGCATGGACGGTGGCTGCGTTAGTGATAGTGATCAACGGGTATCTTCTGTTCCACTTTTTCTTGTCGGAAGTTGACGGGTTTTTGTTTGGTTTGTTTGTGTCCGTTTGGACTGCGGCATACGTCGCGTTTGTGGTGTATCTTATTTCGCATAGCAATAACGAGATTTGGAATTGGCTGAGCCGATTTGTACCGAATAGATTTGCTTCTTCTGGAAATTGAAATCCAACAAATTCAACTGAGGCAAATTTCTTTTACCAGATGAAATTTGCTAACTTGGTGCTGAAGTGTTTTTGTAGGTTTCCTCGTGTGCTAATTTATCTAGAATTTGTGTTCAATCTGTAAAATTAGGGTTTCATAATTAAAATTCCATTGTTATATTATTGGGAGAGCCTAATAACACAATGGCCCCACTGCAGATCCAACCTCCTCCTTCATAAAAGCTTCAATTATATAATCTTGAAGTTAATGAAGCAGGACAAAAAATAAAAAAAAAACAAAATAAAATAAATAAAATATTAGAATTATTTTATCATTGGTTAAGGTTCATTTCTTGCAGTGCGCCTATAGAAGCAAAGCATTATTTTATAGCAACAACATCAAAAAATTAATATTCATTATGTAAGAAATTCCAAACTGTTGGCCAGTCAATAATGCAATTTTAAAATATGCAACTTGAATTTCATGATAATATTGCCTATATTAGTCTCCATCTCCATCCATAGTTTCATAGTATAACACAAAAAAAGTGTCGTAGTTTTTACGAAAAAAGAAAATGGCGATTTCGCTATTAGTAGAAGAGAGCGTAACCAATCAGGAGATTGCACGTTACTGGAAGCAAAGACGCACGGTCGAGGATGAACACTTTTACGCAGCTATCAAGGCTTCAGCTCGTCTTAGGGCGCGCAATCTATCTGTAAGTTCTATATATATATATATATATATAAGAAAACCGAAAAAAGAAAAGAAAAGAAAAAGAGTTGTGATGAATTTCGTATTTTTTGCAGGATTATGAGTACCGGAAATTTCAAGAATTGTTAGAGGACGACGAGTTTGTAAAGGAGGACGAGAACAAAGAGACAAGGGTGGGAATTAAGGACTGGTAAGAATAACAAAATACAGTCAAAATATATGTTTAGATTATTTAAAAAATAATTAATATTATTAGGTAAATGATGTAGGTGGACTAAGAGCAAATATGCATACCTAAACGAACCAGCTGCGATGAAGGTCGATAACCAGAGACGAAGACGACGAAGATCCTACACTTATCTTCCTCAGAATTTCATCTGCAAATTCGGTGTTGTAATTCCGAGCAATGGATATTAGTTCAAGACAACCTTATTATCAAGTTTAATGATCTCTTCTATTCCCCTCTAAAAATTGTGTTTGCTGATGTGTGTGTGTGTATAAATGTTATTATATGTATCTCCGTATAATAAATTCCTGACGCAATTCGCTTCGATTTGAAATGTAAAATATGATTGATGTTGTTCTGTGTAGCTTTATGAAACATTGTTCAGATTGCGGGTTCTTTCATTGAAAAAAAAAGAAAACCACAAGATCATGTATTCATAGAAATACAATTTGTATTCTATATAAAATATATTCCAATTTTTTTTTTGATTAAAAATATATTCCAATTGAAGTGGGAGAGAAGACAATTTCAGTGAGATGATAAGTATGAATATTACTCTCCTAAATTTATATACTAAACACTCAGACTTATTTAAAAATAAATAATAACTACAATTTAAAATTGTTGCGGGTCGGGTCGGGTCCTTAAAAAAATAGCGGGACCAGGCAGCGGTTGTCGTGTAGCTAAAAAAGAGGAAATCGCTAGTCTGAGAGAGGAGCCGAGTGCACCGGCAGAACCATCTTGGGTTTAGGTTTTCCGTTTTCCAGCCCACCGCCGCCGCCGTCGCTTTCCAATTTCCTCCGGCGAGCAGCAATTATTTAACAATTTTAAGGTAAATTCAATCCACTTGTTCTTCAGTTCAACCAATCTTCTAGCTTCAGTCTCTCATTCATGTAAATTGTAATGCAGACGGTGGGTCGATTTAGCTGTTTAAGTTTTTCTGTTCAACTTTTTGGGGAAAATTTCTCTTATGAATTGGTCCTGAATAATAATTATATTTTGAAAATTAGGGCAAAATTGCTGATAAATACATTGTGCTTGTAAATTCAATCTTTGGTGAGTGCTTATATTTAGTATTTCCTCGTTGCCTCTGCAATTTTCAGGGATTTGCTTGGTATTCTGCATTAGGGTTGATTGATAGGTAGAAACTTACTCATGTTAATCTAGATGCATCGATTTTATCTACGAGAACTTACTCGTGTTAATCTAGATTCTCTTTTAGGCTGTGACAGCTCGATTAACCGAATCCAAATAGCCGAATACCTCCCGAAATGGATGCATCAGCAGATATTGCAAAAGCAGATGAATCTAATACAAGCACCACCATAGCCACGAACTCAGAACTAGGTCTCGAATACAACAGCACAACCGTAAAGAAAGCTCGATTACAATCAACATTGGATGCACTTCTTAACGATCCAGTTCTCGCAGACGTACCCAAGAAACTGTCGCTGTCTGATGTGAACACTCTCATCAACTTGGAGCTCGGAAGCGCCATGCGTATCACTGTCCTAAAATTGGATGCTACATCCTTCGGTACATCGTTTTTTTCTCAGATATATTATTTAGAATTGATTTTGTTAAAATGTAACAAACATTTGCACCAACTGGTACAGATACTGAGTTAGTTCTGTTTTTTTGTTTTTTTTCTCGTTTTTTTGTGGTGTGAAGAGGTGGCTCTGATGAATTCTGCTACTTTGAAGGACTTGAAATTGGCGATTAAGAAAAAAGTGAATGATGTGGAGGAATCGAGAATGGGGCATCGGCACATTTCTTGGTATGTTTCGTATATGAATACATAATCTTGAAATACTTATGTTGTCACGATTACGCTGTCTTATCAACTTGCTCTGCCATAGTGAACGAGTTTCCCGTGCTAGTAAACATATGTGATATGTTCTTGACTTGCTTTCTCTTGCGAAACGAAAAAAGATTCGTTGTTGTATATATATAGTCTCGTGGAAAAAAGGGAATGATAAAACAGTATAATTCATAAAGTGTATGCATTTTCAGCCTTAGACTTTGTTAATTGTTATTAACACTTGTTGGTTCTGCAGGAAACACGTATGGGCAAATTTTTGCCTTTCCCACCAAAATGAGAAGCTACTCGACGACAATTCTTTTCTTCAGGACTACGGAATTAGGACCAATTCTCAGGTACGCTTCATTTATATGCTTTCAAATTCCCATTTCCTATGAAAAGAAAGTTCTTCTGAGAATTAATTTCTTCTTCCATCATTTCTTGTAGATTCTTGTTACATTAATAGCTCAGTGTGATTAAGGATATCTCATTTATCTGTACATATAATCAACTATTTTCTTGGATCAGTGACGAAAAAAAAGGCTTCACATCATTTTATTAAAATAGTGTAGTTCGTATAAATAATTTGGCAAGTGAACTGAACTAGTCATTTCTTTTTCTCGTTCTCGATAGATGCTATATGTTACTTGCCTATATGTCGCCTATTCTTATCGCTGGATATTGTATCTTACGGAGGCATCTCTGAGTATTGCAAGTAAAACTTTGTTTTTTGCAGGTTCAGTTTGTTCCTTACGTTATTTCGAGAGATTTTCGGAGGCACTCTAGGAGCAAAAAACATCGTTTCTTTCATGGTTTAAACAGAAAAGCATGACCAGAAAATTTTGGTGACGAATTCTCGAAAATAATTGTAAGTATTATTATTATTATTATTATTATTTTTTTTTTTTATATAATTTAATTGGAGGATCCAAGTCTCACATAATTTTATTGGGTAGTTGTCAAATAGAATAATTTTCTTCTTTTATGAGGATTGTGAAATAGCATTTCAAATTAATGACTTATCCCCCCGCATGTTGCGGCCTCAATAATCCAAAGTCCAAACCTACTTCCATCTATGATCATTCTTTGACCTTTTAAAAAAAAATAAAAAAATTAAATAATAATTTTACCCATCACTTCTTAAAATCAACAAATTTTGTTCACATTAAACTCTAACATATTTAAATCAATGTAATTTGAACAAATCCAACTCAAAGATCTTTGTTATGATTTTCTACACTAGCTTAACGATGAGCATTCCTTAGAGCTGAAAATCAAATCATTCTATTTGATTCGAGATTGTTTAATTCATTTTATCTCGATTTGTTAATATGATGCTAGTTTTAAAACACATATTTATTTTCGATATACTATGAAGCTCGATTTAAATTTTTTTTTTTGATAGAATATATAAAAATAAATAAATCAACTACTCGAGCTTGTTCGTGTCCGTCTCGAGAAAAACTTGTTCGAACTCGAACAATTGTTTATAAAACATTAGCTAAAAAACAACTCGGAAAACTCGATAAAATTTCAAACATGTGTCCGGTTCGACTCTATTCGTTTACAGCGCAACGGCAGTTTCACCATTTTATGCAACGTTTTATTCCTTGATAAACTGAAGTGGTGAGAATATAAATCCCAGAGAAACTTTTGTATAGGGAGTAATGATTTAATTTGGGTGTAGTGCACACTGCATTAGAAGAATAAATGCATGTGATATTTCTCTGGTTTTTTCTTATTTGGCATTGTACATATGTCAGTGAATCTCCCTTGAGAATCTCATATCTTTTTACTACCCAGCTGACTTTGACTTCATCTCTTTTTTTATTTTTATTCTTTTTTATTCACTAAATTTAAATTTATATAAATTTACGGGAAATTTGTTCAATAAATAGGGGAAAAAAACATTAGTCCGTTATGGTCAATAGTATGGTACTACTTGCATTCAGGGACCTATCAGAACAGTAAAACTTCACTATTGGACTAATTCTTCAAGTTGTTAGTTCTATTTTGCCCCTTCAATTTTTTTATACATTTCAATAAAATAATTAATTTATTGCAAGCAATAAACATTCATGATTAATGATTACTAATAACAATTAGTCAAAGATAAATACTCTACAACAAACAGCTAGGATGCTTCATACTCTACCCAATACTTGTACCACAATTTTTGTATACAAAATCTAGTGGGCCCAACTTTTCATTTATCCAAAATAATCTTAGGAAAATAATACATATACAATAAATACAATTTGCCTTCTTTATGAATATTCCACTTGGCTGGGAGAAAAAACGTAACTAAATTACGAGTGATAATATTGAATACAGTCCAATTATTTATTTAATTAAAATTTATCTTGGTAATTGACAGCCAATATGACTTAAAATAGATAAAATTTACACCCAAATATACATTCACAGTTACTAATAAAACTTGTATTACGAATATTTTCTTGATGTTGTTGATATTATCTAAATATTTCATGAATATACGAAATTAAGAAGGGGTATTATTGTACATTTATGAAAATTCCAGAAGGGTATTTTAGTCATTTAAGAGTGGGAAAAGACTTTCCAAGTCCTGAAAAAGAAATCAATTTAATTAAGAGTATTAATTAATTAATTAATTTCCGTAATATAAATAACCGCAAAGCGCTGTGAGTAATGTTTTGCTTCTTGTTAACGTCAGCTTTCTCTTTCCCCCTTCTCTCTCTCTCTCTCTCTCTCTCTCCTGCTCAGTAAACACTTTCTGCTCGCTTCTGCCATTTTTTTCCTCAATTCAATTTCTCAACATCTGCTTTTTCACTTTTACAATCAGTTAAAAAATCGAGCTTCGGTTGCTGAAGCCTGTGATTTCTATGGAGCGGAAGCAGGGCTTTTTCTCTGCTCTCAAGGAGGAAGTAGTCCGCGGGCTATCGCCGGCCCGGTCGAGAAGGGGCCGGAGTCAGTCTCCATCCGGGTCGGGTTTGCACCGCCGCCGGAGAGGCACTAGTGTGGGCCCACCAGAAATGCTGATATCGAGATCGGGTAGTTTGAGGCCCGGTGCCGAGACGCTGTCGCCTTTGAGAGAGGGTCCGGATCCGAACGGGTCGGATTCCGGTGAGACGAAGAGCGACGGATGGGCGCATTGGCTCTGCCGGGCCCCTTCCGTTTCCGCCGCCGCCGGGTCGGGTTATTCGAGGTCCGATCTGAGGCTGCTTCTCGGTGTACTCGGTGCGCCTCTAGCCCCGGTGCACGTTAGCAACACCGACCCTTTGCCTCATCTCTCTATTAAAGATACCCCCATTGTCAGTCTCTCTCTCTCTACGTTTCCTTTCTCTCTCTACATTTCCTTCCATTTTTGGATCATTTGCTGTTTACGGTCAATCTGTCACAATTAATTTTTCCTGCACTGTATTCTCCAATTGTTCCTTCAATTTTCTCGATAGGATTAATCATTCAATTTCACGATTACTGCATACAAAGAATGTGAATTAAAGAGAGCGGAAAAAAAGGAAAATAAAGAAAGGATAATAAAAAAAATTGATGTGTGCGTGGATTGTGACTGATGACCGCATCTTCTTTTGGTTGGTAAATAGTCAGTGTGTTTCATAAATTCTCCCAAAAATAGGAGAATGGTGGATAACTGAATTGAATAATTCAATAGATAGATATTGCTGCACATGGTGGTGGTCCTCGTACCGCCATTAATGCTCTTTTATTTCAATATTTTTTTTTGATTTTGTTTTTTTCCCAACTGGTTTTGATTTATGCAGGAATCTTCGTCAGCACAGTACATACTGCAGCAATATCTAGCGGCTTCGGGTGGGCAGAAGCTCCAGAACTCGATCCAGAATGCTTACGCGATGGGGAAAGTCACGATGCTGGCTTCTGATATCGAAACGGCGACAAAGGTGATCAAGAACAAGAGTTCGTCGAAATCGGCCGAGTCGGGTGGTTTTGTGCTGTGGCAAATGAATCCAGATATGTGGTATGTTGAGCTTGCATTGGGCGGCAGCAAGGTTCGTGCTGGCTGCAATGGTAAGCTGGTGTGGCGGCACACCCCGTGGCTTGGTGCACATGCGGCCAAGGGGCCCGTTAGACCCCTTCGTCGTGCACTTCAGGTAATTTTATGACCCAACTCAAAGAACTTCAAATTCGGACCGAAAAAGGGTCAAAAGCACAACTAAAGTGAAATCAGTGACATTGACCTGGATTTTTAACTGCAGGGCCTGGATCCAAAGACAACGGCAAACATGTTCGCCAACGCCAGATGCACGGGAGAGAAAAAAATCAACGGTGAGGATTGCTTCATCCTCAAACTCTGCGCGGACCCCCAAACACTGAAAGCAAGGAGCGAGGGTCCCGCAGAGATCATAAGGCATGTCTTGTTCGGATACTTCAGCCAGCGAACGGGGCTTCTTGTCCACTTGGAGGATTCCCATTTAACCAGGATTCAAACCAACGGCTCCGATGCTGTCTATTGGGAGACGACCATCAATTCATTCATGGACGATTACAGGCCCGTTGAGGGCATCATGATAGCTCACTCGGGCCGATCTGTGGTGACACTTTTCAGGTTCGGAGAAACTGCAATGAGTCATACCAAGACTAGAATGGAAGAAGCGTGGACTATTGAGGAAGTTGCGTTCAACGTACCGGGTTTGTCTGTCGAGTGTTTCATTCCTCCCGGTGAACTCAGGTTCGGTGAAGCGTGCGAGCTTCCTCAAGAAAATAGGGTCAAGAATGCTGTTGCGGCTGCTGCTTATCGAGCGAAAGTTGTCGCCCTGGGGAAAGCTCACGGCGGTAGTGTCAACAGTGTAGTTCCCATTTGACAAATTAAGGGAATTTTTTTAATTTTTAATTTTAAATTTTAAATTTTTATTTTTACAGTTTAAGTGTAGTTGCTTTGAGATGTGTATATAGTTATGATTTTGTTATGGAAAATGGAATACTAATTATGAGGTTTTGCAACTTATAATGATGATTAGTATTTGTCACTCAAAGCATGGTGTCTGGTTATGATTATGATTTATGATTATGGCAATAAGAACTTGTGCAGGGGGCTCTTTAGCAATTTCACATTAATTACATAAGTTAATAACAAACACTATTAACATATAATTTAAGAATACAATGTGCAGTTTTACATTCATAACATGTAAAACAATTTAGCAATTTTATTTATTTATTTATTGCAATAAGCATCAATATGTTGAGAGCATCATCACCCCCTAACTCTGCTCCAGCAGTAAAATCATGAATCCTGAAGCAATCAGATCATGCACTGATTTAATGTTACAAAATCTAGCTGAAATCATTCACTATACGCATAAACAAGATAATCAAATCGAGTTCTCAAAATAAAAAATAATAATAATAATAATAATAATCATGATTTCCGACTAGTTCGATGCAATTTGAATTTATATACTGAGTCAATAATCACCTTTTCGACAGAACTTCCGCCGGTGCTCGAATCACCAATAGCAGCAGCACTCATGTCCAAGTTTCTGCAAATGGATTCATAATATATGTAAGAAAAAAATTATTAAAAAAAAATCAAAAAATATCAAGAAACGGAAAACGATCACCAACCTTTCATACTCCGGGACAGATATTTTATCCACAGTTTCCAACTTATGGTGACCTTGAATATCTTCATCCTGGAGTATAATTCCATATATTAGAGTAAGGTACACACACACACACACACACACACACACACACACACACACACACACACACACACACACATATATATATATATGATTAGTTTACAGACGAAGAAGAAATCTTACGGGAGAATAATGGTGCATCCAATGAGGTATAGTATCCGAAAGGACAGTAACGTACTTTTCCATAGCCTCGTCCTGGTTCATGCTTCCCAATCTTTGCCAAGCGTTCCTTGCACAATTGAATTAGTGGCCCCCATCAACCCTGTTATATATATACGCTAGCAATCAAACTAAACCCTCACGCCGCCTACCGTTTCTTGTAATTATCAAGATTCTCTCTTCAAGATTTAACATTTATCTCTCTCATTTTACATCATCTTTTGAAAGTTGTTACAAATCATCTTTTGAAAGGTGATACAAATTATTCAATGACGGGATTCACTTTCTTGATACTGTGAAAACGGACACTAAATTTTCTTAGATACCTAATATTTCGACAAACGAAATTGGCACTATTAGTCCAAATGCAGGTCAATATTTTTCGGTTTTCGGTTTTCGGGTTTCTCCTGCTGATGATAGCTCAAGAATTAAGTTCGGTTTTACGCACGTACTATGTACTACTTCACATTCATCTTAATATATGAGCAAACAATACAATGCAATTCTATACGAAAACAAAGAAAACAGGGATAGCATTTATACGAAAGATCGAATACCATTTGGCACGAGCGGACACCTTCAACGCCATAGGCTGAGGCTCGTGGCAAGGCCCTTCGACTGCAACTTTGTGAAGCCCGTACAACTCCATCTGCACATCGCTGCCCATTTTCGCTAACCGATCATCGTTTCTGTTTTCCCCTTTTCCTCCGTACTCCACGTAATTAACAGCCTCCGCAAACACTTTCTCCAACTCACTCCTCTCTATTCCCTCCCAATCATCATCCTCATTCTCAATACTCACTTCCGTTTCTTCCTCTAAATCCCGTTCAATCAATCCCTCGTTTCCTTCCGATTTTATATCAGCTATCAAATCACTCCCCCCCAATTTCACTTCATTCCTCTCCTCTTGATCAATTACACTATTCAGCCCACTAAAAACCCCATCTTTATTTTCAACAACAACCTCTTTCTCTACCGGCATTTCGACTTTTTTCGACTCTTCTTTATCTCGAGCATCGGAATCGAAACATTGTTCATTATCTACAAACTGATCAACATTTTCTCTAGATTTCTCTTCAACAATCACACCCCCAACAGAATCATCAGCAAGATTTTCACCCCCTTGATAAAGATCAACCCTCTTAATCACAACATCATCATCATCAACAAATTTCACTTTCTTTTTGCTTTTTGACCTCCTTACCCTCAACCCTTTATCCAAAATCCCATCTTTCGCAACTGCAACTTCACTAACGGAACAAGCAACGCCGTTACCGTTAGCTCTGGAGCTGGAAACACCGAAAGAAACAACCTTTGCAACAAGAAAGCATAAAACAAGTGCCAGCAAAGCTGTAATAAAAGAAAAAATCATGCTCCCTTTCTTGAAACTGATCAAAATCTGAAGTTCTTGAAAGATTGTCAGAAGAAGAAGAAGGGGCAAAAGGGGAAATATGAACACGAAAAGCTCGTGAAAGTATTCAAAAGAATAATAAGCAACACGGAAGGGCGAATAGATAACGATGGTATATTGTTAACATTTATGATGATTCATTGCAACCGACGCTATATTATTATTAGAGTAGTTGAATTTTTATGTTTTTTGTTTGAACATATTAATTTTAATTCAATTTTAAATGTGGGATATAGAATGTTTCATGAGAAGAGCAAAGCATATTCTTTTCCCTTTTCCTTTTTGGTTTTTTTTTTTCCTAATGTGGGCCTATTTGTGGGCTTGTTTGGAGGGGACTAAAGTTACTTATTTGGGCCCCACTTGGTGTTGCTAAAGCTTTAATGTGGTTTTTATCATGTGGGACTGTCTACAAACTAATTAAGGTGGTCTTTCATTTTTTTATGAAAAAAACCCCTCATGTTTGGGTAATTACACTCCACCCCCTTAACTATGGATCTTCTTACACTTTCACCCTTGTAGTGTCAAATTTAGAGGAATGTTATCCAATTTGTACCTGTTTTACCACATTCGAGCTCCACACTTTGAAACAAGATGATCATAAGATGTGTCTCTTGGCTTGTAAATATCATATTTTTGTGCATCAGAAACTGTATTTTTGCACAAAATAAGTACAAACTAGAGAATATTCTACAGAATCTAAAAAATTATGTTGAATTTGACATTATAAAAGTGCGTGTAAGAAGATTCATAGTTAGAGGACCTTACATCAGTTGACCGTAATTTACCCCTTTTTTAATAACTATTACACTTTTGCTTATCAATTGGGAAAGAGCAGAGCTGTATTCATCATTTGCTCCATAATTCTTGTATTGTGTGTTATGTAAGAAACTAATAATGAGTAATTGATTATTTGCTCCATAATTCTTGTATTAATTAATACTTTTTAATATGATTAACTTCTTGTTGTCCCACCTAATATACATACATGTTTTTGTCATAATATATCACACCTTGACGTGTGTGTTTATCCATTGAAGAGTAGATGAGCTTATCCTATTCCACGTTTGGCAAAAAGCAAATTTCTATCACTAATAATTGTTGTAGGGTTCAACCATGTGACTTTCAATTCCCAGCACCTAAAATTTGTCTTTTGATTATAAATAAAAATAAAAATGTGGTGGTGATAGGACATCAACAATACCCAAAAAATTAAAGTCGTATATTTAGAAATATGATGCTTTTTTTTTCTTCATGTTCAACGAATCATGAAATCGGAAAGTGTAGAAATTATCGAACATCACTATAGTCGAATATAGCATAAACAAATCAATACGAACGTTCGTATTTTTTTTCGTGCGCGAATAAATAGTTGGAACTTAATTTTTTTTTTTACTCGGGGTGTAGCATGAAATAAGCCATTATTTTGTCCTTGTAATGGTTGTTTGGGAGGACCACCACTATAAATATTAATATTTAGAAGACACAATCATCGTTTGTTCGGTACCATGTTAATACAATCACAAACTAGACGATAAATATTACATAATATTTAAAAGTTCGAATTGCTTACATTTCAGCAAACAGACAGAGTGTTAGATCCGAAAGATTAGTCGTTTTTTATGACTTAATAACACTAAAAAAAGGTAGGGTTAACGGGCACAACTTCCTCAAAACCAAAGCTAAAGTAAGTTCTAGATACATCAAACGCGTTTCGGTGGAACATAAGGCACACGCTCCTCTTCACAAATATTCTGCAGCATTACAAAATCGTTCATCAAAACACTTTCAGGAAGATAATTTATAGCAACATAGCTGTGGAGAGGAGATTAAGAAGCCGGCAGTTTAATTAAAGATAATTTGTTTACAATAGTTTTACCTGCAAGTCGTTAGGGAGCGCTTCAGAAACTGCAAGTGTGTAGCAACCAGGAACAAACTTGCCTGAAAAGTTTTAAAATAAACACACGGTTAAAAAACACCGGTATCCAAAATTGACAAATGCAGGGTATTGATAAGTTATGCATCCGGAGTCTACTTGATAAAATCGCGAGCAGCCTAAGTACTAAGGATTTACTGCATATGTGAAGTTCAGAAACTTTACTAGTTTCCAATTGTAAATGTGAATAAATCTTTTGACGTTTTTTTTAAATAGCACGATTATCCAGCTCTTATATTCACTTTAACTAAGTCATTAACTTATTAGTCTTTATCTCTCATCACAATGCTCTCAACTTATTAGTGCGGTAAGTGTCTTTATCAACTTGCTTGTAATCCACTTGGTACGTATTATAGCCAAACGAGGCCTAAGGCCTCGTTTGGCTGCCAAGATAAGATTAAATAATCTAATGAAACCCAATTGTTTTATTGGACCATGGAAGGTCGAATAAAAAAATTCTCCAAAAGGCAAGTTAAGCCATGATAACATAATATTTCCGGTCGACCCGGTAAACAAAGTCCAACAGTTTATTGGACCATAACTAATCCACCCAAACAAACAAGGCCTAAGAATATGAATCTGAATCGGGGTTTTACAGTTTATTCGAATATGATAGGATATCACCAGCAAAAACAAGAAAGTTTGGGATCTCTAAGCCATATGCAGCTGTGATTTGTCAAGTTGCGTATTGATATCAGCATCAAGTAAATGTCTAATGGCTAATGATTATCAGAATTTTCATCACATACAAAAGAAAGGAATAATTTACTAATTTAAAGTAGCAGAACAAATTACATACCAATGCGGAGCCAGCGGGCAGCCCAGCTTCTAGTCGGGTCCATAACCGAGATTATCCTACAAACCAAACACAAATAAGTAGCTTCAGTACGTTTCAGAAATAATTTTCTCTCGATCACTTCGTTTTGTGGGCCAAAAAGAGAAGGTGGGTGAAAAGAGGAAACAAACCCAGTGAAATTGGGGGTTGTGCTCTCGACAACTCTTTCGTGATCATCTTCCATCTGAAAGAAAGGGCAGTTCTCACACCCCGATTCTCGAAACTGCAACAACCGTAAGACTCATTAATATGTCTTTTCACATCTTTTTGGGTTTTAATCAACAACACTTGTAACATAAAAAATAAAACACGAGTTAACGCGCTTAAGAGGTTTAATAAGCCAAACCTGGTCATAAGTCTTGACAAGACGGCATCGAAGGCAGGCTCTGAGTTCGTGTCCGAAGCTTGTTGGAATTTGTGCAACTGCTGCTCCTCCACCATGATTTGCCATCTCTAAAAAACAGATAACTATTTTTCGGGGAATAAATAACCATCAATTTACTTATTTTCCATCAAACTCATCATTGGGGAAAAACAATCAGGAAAAAAATACAACTTTTGATTTTGAGCCCCCAGCCCCTATTTTTGGGTACAAACTGAAGCACGTAGCAAGAGCATATATGAAATCTCTAGACTATCTATTTAATTTTTCCATGTATACACAAAATTAAATTCTGGCAACAATAAAACCTAAGGACTCCATTATGTTGTACAGCAACGAGAGGGGTGGGGGTAATTAAGGGAAAAATTTAGAAATATAATGGTATACATACAAAAAACGCACACAATCACACACTTTTCAGCGTGAGAAACATCGAGAAAATAGGACTGGAAAAAAAAAAGTAAAAAATAGGGAGAAATTTTTTACCTTGATAAACCTTTAGGGCGGCGAAACTTCTATCACCGGCGGAATTGATCGGAGAACAAGTATTGCCAGCTTCAGCTCACGTCTTTGAGAGGGTTTCTTCAACAGGTTTCAATTTACTTCTGGTTTCTGTACATTAAATTACTACTGGTTATTTTTACATGGAATGTAATTGTATAAATCATACAGAATTGGGGGAATATGGAGTGGGCCTATAATTGATTGTTGGGCTTCGACTAAATTTCATGTGTTTTGATCTCTACAATTATTATTATTTATTTATTTATTATTATTTTTGGGGGTTTAGAATAACATCAATTCAACAGTAAATAAATTATTTTAAACATATAATATAGTAAAAACGCCGTAGAAACGAAAAAAGAAAAAAATATCTACGAATTTCACAAACAAAAAGATAAATAAATTTATTGAATCAAAATAAATCAGGTGACTTACAATATCCAATTTAATCTTTTAATAATTCGAACACAATCTAGTTACGCCGACAAACTTCTTTAAGAACACAATTAGGTTTTGAATTGTATCTGGGGAGGACTCCTATTTATAACAGTAGAACAAGAGTCCTTGGTAATTTATTTAATGATAGGAGTTGTTGATAGTATGTGTATAATTTGTGAATTTTAATTACAAGTTAAAATCATACCTTTATCGGACGGATTGGGTTATAAATTTACACTTTCGGAAAGAAAAAACAAATATTCCAAAGGAATTCTATTTTATTTTATTTTATCGAGATTAATATTATTTGGTATTGTTATTTAGTTTCAGAAAATTAAAATTGGACCAAAATAATTGAATCTAATTTGTATTTCAATTCCACTTCTGAAAAATCGGAATTTTCAGAATTCAGATAAAAACAATCAATTGGAATCGACAGTATTAAAAATGGGGGTTTTCAATAGTAGAACAAGAGTCGTTAATTATTAATTTATTATATAACTTATTAAAACGTGAAACAAGCAAGTCCATGTTTGATGTTGAAGCAAAAACATCACAAAAATAAATATTATTATCTGCTCTATCTTCTATCCTAACATACCACCATACAAGGATTCAACCCATAAATTATAGAAAACGGAATCTACGAGAGAATATGCCGATTGGATCATTCGCCGCCGGCATCAGGACTGACCTTGTTATGCAACCGGTATAGCAGTGTGGATTTCGACATTTGAGGCTCCCTTTCTAATACCGTAATCACATCTTTAACCGATATGCTCCGAGCCACTCGTGGTACGACTACTTGATTCCTTCCCACTTTTCTCACCGACCCTGAAAATAAGTTAAAACATATGTTAAATTTAAAATTTTTAAGGTGTGTTTGTTTGATTATTAAAATACTTACCGGAGGTGGTCAAAGCAGCCGAAGAATCCCTCTTTTCTGATTCTTGATTCTCCCTCGTGTTTCTTGTAGAGGTTACTGAAGCCTTTCGTGTTACGTCTTTGGCAGGCTGGTTCACAGATGATGAATCTGGTCCACCCTGTTTCTGCTTTGCCTCAATCATAAGTTGCCATCTTGAAAGCATGTCGCCCACTCCAGTAGCAGCTCGTACAGCAACGTTTGCAGCTGTCGTTCGCATTTTATCATCTTCTTCCTTGTTAGCCTTGCAGGAAAGTTAATAAATAAATAAATTAGAAAAAAAAATCATTTTTGCTCCATGCCGTTATATAATACAATATTGCAGAAGTTTTACCTTTGTTGATTTTCCACGACTTTCGTCCTTGTCCTTGTCCCCGTCAAGGCCAGCTGTACCATCAGCCTACGTTCAAAAATTGAATTAAGAATTTTCATGAAAATTAAACAAATATAAGTGGAACACTGAACGCTTACTTCATTTGCTTTTTGTGATTTTTCGGTTTCGGCTTGCTTTTTCTCCCATTCTTCGCGAGCTTTACGGTTTATTGTCATGATCTGTTGCCTGACATCTGAGGTGATGATAGTTTTGTGCCTTGGCTTCTCTATGTCAACTCGCTGCATAAATAATTCAAACTCAGCTTGAGATACGTAAAGGGAAGCAGTTCACTCAGAAAAGAGTTAAAAGGAATGCAGAGAAAATAAAAGAATGGATAGTAACCTGTTTTGAAAGTCTGACGACATTAAATATGATTCCACGCAGTCTCTCTTCCACGCACTGAGATTACAATAATCCGCAACCAAAAGAAACAGTTAAGGTAAAATAAAAGAGATTGAAAGAACAAGCCGATTATACTTCTCAAAAGTCTCCCCGACTATGAATTCAAGTTAATTAAAATTCTTTGACAACTAAATGCGAGTACTAAAATCATTTCTTTTTATGACACAATGTTCCTAGATAACAATACATGTAATTCAAATTTAGAGCATAGTTATATCTATCACAGTCTCACCAAGGACAGGCATCGCTCCACGTCGCTGCTCATATTCTTTAAACCTTTTTTAGCCACTGCCAGAAAACAAAGAATCAGTAGAAGTTTTAACTTCTATGATGCAAAGATGCTACCCCGGGAATAAAATGAATGAAGATATCAAAAAACACGCAAACACTGCACTTAGAAAAAATATTAACTTAGTTCCACCATTTTCTTCTGAAGTGGAGTCTTATTCAAGATCAGCCTTTCCTCTTCTTCTTGAACAACGCGTCTAGATGCCTCTGAAACCCGGCTGTCTTCCTTGGCGGCAGAAAAGAGTTGTTCCTCTTCCTCCTGTTTATGCATGTATTTTATAAGATTAAGAAAAACCCATGTTTTGTTCCAAAAACTGCAAATAAAAACAAGGGGGTTCAGATGGGGAGGTTAGTTGAAGAAGAGTTACCCTGAGATTAACTCCGCTAACTGCAGTAACATCATTTAGATGTTCGATGCTTTGATCCAAAAAGCCACCAGACACTTTTTGCTTCTTACTATGGAATATATTCATGAGAATTCAGTATTAGATAAAAAGAATAATCCACTCAAGTATTTTAACATTGTAGCAAATTTGTTATATAAATAGTATCACCTTGATGGAGGTGAAGAACCAGGTGCTTCCATTGGTTTCTTCTGTCCAATCAAAGGCTTTTTTGGGGGAGCCTTGGTATTTCCAGGCCCAATAGGATTAGTTAGAGACGGCATCCGAGAAACTGACTGACAGTCATAAAGAAAAAATCAAAGAGAAATAACCAACGATTACAGAATAACATAAATGAATTATCACAAATTGTTATGAGAAAGAATAGTCCAAAAAAATCTATAGAGGAAATACAGCTTCTGATATACACAAGTCAAAAAAACAAAGATGAGGGAGGGTAGACCAGAGCTTGGATGGATGACGGAATACTTGGTTAGGTAAATGAGCAACTAAAACATGATAGTAAAAAATAAAGCACATTTACTTTAAGAACTATGATATCAACATTTTTATTTACATTTATGGCTTGACACATAAGAATCATAGTGTTACACTATGATATCTCTTAAGTTTTTCATGCATGTATGTCTTTATGGCACGAGCACAAAGAAGGTATCTCATTAGCCTATTTTGAAAGCCAAGACTCAGCCGAAGCACAATAGAGAAACGGGAGAGTTGTCAAATACCTGAGTGTTGGTTTCCATTGGGCTTGGAATTGAAGAGGGAACTGAATTCGTCGGCACCGCGCTTGTAGGTGGTGCGAATCCTGTTCGAGATAAGTGCATTTCGAAAGATTCATCCTTGAAATTCCCTGGAGCAACAACACTGCCCTGTTTATTCAGTGCAGGAGATAAAGAAGATAATCCATGCGAGGAAGACAACTGGGCTCTATGTTGTTGTTCGTTTGGCTGGTCAACTGGTTCCTGCTTTACATGACTCATCGAGGATGCAGCGCCACTTTTCTGTTCTTTGCTGGCGGATGCTGGCCACTGCACCTGATTCTGCTGCAGTGCGTTGTTGCTGCTATTCATATGAGCCATACTTCCAGGTTGCATTTTCTTATGATCACTAAGAGAATGAGGCCTGTCAAATTTAGGCATATTTGTCATATTCATGGCTCGGGGTGTGGGTCCCATGTGATTAACAGCACTGTTCTGATGAGCTTGAGCCTGTGGTCGCAGAGGTGTTGACGATGCAGCATTAGTCGCAGAGAAAGGTGAATAACCGGTCCCACCACTTCCATAAGACGGAAAAGATGTCTGTGGGAAATGCATGTGCTGTTGGTTATTAAGTCCGTGTGTTGGAAATGAAGGATGCTTCCTCTCCTGAATTAAAGCTCCTGAACCAGAACTCGACATTTGGCTTGCTTGTCCCCCTTGTGACTCTGCTTGACTTTCCACCTCACGTGATTTTGCTGTATTACTGTCGCCCGTGGAACTGCTTAAATCCGTTGCCATTTGTGCTGCAAAATGAGGAAAAACGGGAGCTTTGTTAGTAGAAGAGGTGGTTTGTAAAAATCAATTTGCAAACAACTAGGTTTTACAGAAGGATTTGCACCACTTGATGCGACTTGCATTTGCCGTGCAGAGATCTGCGGCTGTGACTGAAACTGATTGGAGGCAGTCTGTGCGTTCCTATTAGCCTGATTTCATTTTATGAAGTTAATCAAACTACATTGAAGTCAACCAAAAAGGCATAAAACCACATGATATGTATCACATACCTGAGTCTGCAGTTTGAATACAGCCATTTTCAACATCTGGTCCCCAACAATACTTCTCATGTGCCGGACAAAACCATCTTTCGAGATCTCATTTTTCTGGAAACAGTTAAAAGTCGTTGTAAGGATGAGACACCACTGTAATTGGATCACTATATTAGTAACGAACAAAACGAGCAAATATAGCTACCTTCAGTCTATAGTAAAGAGTTTGAAGTTGCATGGCTCTGTCCTTGTCAAGTTGGGGTTGTATGATAGGAAGCAACATACCAAAGGGCACTTGTTTGTTCAATTTCAAATTGCCACCTGGCTGTTGACTACTGCTACTTGTAGTTGACTGTTGATTACTCATCTCCGATGTCATCGCCTGTTGCCCACTCATCCCCATTCCTGTAGTATGTTGAATTACATTTGATAAGACCTGTTCATTAGTTACTCCCATACTTGTTCCTTTCCCTATCGACAAAGATTGTTGACCGTTGAATTCCATAGACGAATGATTACTGATATTCTGAAAGTTGTGCGTCTGTGAATCTCTTTCTTGATTTGGTTTATGATCTGGCTCTTGGATATGGATGGTTTGTTCGCCAGATGATTGTATATCCATAGGTTGTGAGACAGGGAAAGCGCTCTGGTCGGGTTGAGATTGTGGACCAGCATCTAACGATGGGGCATGTGGCAGAGGATTAATCTTCTGAGACGAGAAGTTGTCCTCTTTTCTGTTCTCAGGGTCTGTTACGTTTTGCTGTAGATGCTGCTCTTTGTCCTTAATAGGCCTGATATCTTGCACACTTTGAAAATTAACGATCCCCTCGTGGCCTGAAGTTTGCCAATGAGGAAGAAACTGAGTTGCGTTTTGACTGCTTCCATGAGACAAAGCTGCTGGCATTCGTTGAATGCAGAGGATGAAAATCGTGAAAGTTCTTAGGAAAGAATCGATAGCTTTACATTTAAATCATTATCCAACAACTTATAAATTTAACAAGACCCTATATAGTAAGTACCACTACCTCATAAACACCCCCAAATGGTTAAACAGCTCCGTTATGTTAGCAACAACAGAGTAAAATTTACCAAGATTACAGGCAACAAAGACATAGACCTCGAATTCCGGTTCCAAATTTAAACATGAATACAATAATAAGTCACACCAATTAGACGATGAGGTAAATTAATTACCAGTGTTGGAATCGGAGAGCTGGTGCGATGTAGAATTATTGCCTTCAATGTCTCTATTCAATTCAGCCGTGAATGCCTCCACGTCTGCCCCAGAATGCAATGTTTCATCCTGCCAAACAAATATGCCCCCATGTTAACACACACACACACAGTAAGAAAAAAGAAGAAGCTCAGTATGGGGCATCACACGAAACACACGAATTCGACAGAGCATGAATCAATACGAAACGTATAAGTAAATAATTTAGGAGGAAGAAGACGACGAACCTCGTCTTCCTCGAGGAATTTCATGAGATTAGGATCCATGGAAATCCGCTTCAGCTATTTTGGTATGCCGCAGCAAATCGTGAGCAACGAATAAACACTCTGGCGATCGATTTAAGAAAGAGAAAACTAGAAAAGAAGAAAGAACAAAATAATTTAGAGGAAGAAACAATCGGTAAGAAAGAGAACAATCTGTTGGGAGTTTTCCCCAAATCGATCAAAAATAAAACCCCCAATTCAATTTATAAGACTTTTTTTTTTTTTTTTTCTTTTTTGTAACTTTTCGGTTTATTTCTAAAATTATGTCTGGAAATTCTTAAATTCTTAAAATACCTGTCCTATAAAATAAATGATTTGATTTTTACAATTAAATTTATTTTGTTCTAATCTACATTTACATTTATAGTATTTAGTGAACATTTACATGTACGAGGACTGAAAATGAATTAAAATATTTGATGTTTAGTTCAAGATTGGAAAAACTTGAGTTCAGTTTGTTAACACAATGAACAAAATTTGAATATGAATTTCCATTCGATAAACTATGATGTTCGGCTCGAGCTTGATTTAGCAAATGAATAATAATATACGTACACAAAATCAAGCTATTCAAAATCCATTCGTGTTTGACTCACTTAAAGTTCATTTTTCAACTCAATTATCTGTCAAACCAAGTTAAAATAATAAAACTTAAAAAACATGATAGAAAACTGTTACGTTTGCAGGAGTAGAATTGACATTTTTAAAAAATATTTAATGTAATAAAAAAGAGTCCTTGAAAAAATTACACCGTAAGGGGATCCGCATAAAACGAAAACAAACATGGGGATTTTGGTAAGTAAAGATAGGTCCGGGTATTTTTCGTAATTTAACCTAAATACAGGGAAGTTTTTGTAATAGAAATTTATATACACATGTATACAAAAGCCCAAATATTTTTCTTATAAGCCCAACCTTGTTCCTAAAAGCCCAAACCATTTGAGATACATTATAATTTATAAACTATTTTTATATTTGTAAAAACAAAAAAAATAATATTTTTATTCAACAGTGAGCAGCCATTGATTTGAGTATAGAAACCTCAATATAATGTTGTCATTTATCCCTTCCAAAACCCCTGGAAGAAATTACAGCCCTTTTTTGTAGATCACCTCCCAAAAGAATAGGGATTCACTGAACAAACTCTGGTAAACACTCAAATATGCGATTCCATCTCATTTCCAATTTCACCCGCGCCGCCCTTGCCCAGCCCACGCGCCGCCGTTTATCCTCGTTATACGATCAACAATGCCGTCCGTACACCCCGTCCGTTCGCCGCCACCAAAACCACCAGTTCGCGAAGAAAACCAGGGTTTCTGAAACGACGCCGTCTGAATTCTCTTCTCACTTTGCAGCACTTCTTCTACGCAGGTCTTACTCATCGAAATCTTCGAATTCTGGCATGGGGCTCCTCAGCTGGTATTTGGGCGTGCTGGAAACGCGCCCAATTTTGACGAAAAGCATATCGTCGGCTGTTATTTATGGGGCAGCTGACGTCACCTCCCAGGTAATTTTGGTGTAGATGTTGTGCATTATTTCCTTTTTGGTACAGAGTATTGCTAATTAGATTCTTTCACACTGTTTGGAGCTCAATTTGTTCAGGAATTATCGATGAATGGTGCTTCGCATTTCTCGATTTTTCGCTGATTGTTTGTATTTTTCAAGTCCGGTTTGTATGACTAAAATCGAGGCCATACGTTTTGGTTATGGTGATTTGAAATTATGTATTTGAGCCAGTAGACATGTCTTGTAATGTAGGAACTAAAAAACAATTAGGAAACTTAAGATTGTCGTAAATTATGTAAATTCATATTTATCATGCTTCGATTTTTGGAAAAAAAAAAATTGAACAGTTGGTTTAAAGATGTAAAAGTATATAGTATTTATCGATATTCCCTCATTATATTAAGTTACAAGACTATGGTACCGATGTTTAGGTGTTCGGAATACACATGACTAAATCTTTAATACGTTGAACGACCAAATAGGCAGAAAGTTTGGGTTGGGTTGGGTTACACAATCGGCAAAAATTGCTTATGAAACGTGAAAGATGTTTGTTGCAAACAACCCCCAAAGCAACAGTGTTAATAACACCACTGATTTTGTTATTGAGTTATCACCCCGTCGAACATTTTATTTTGTTAATTTACCAACTCTTTTTTTCCGAAATGTGTCAGCTAATTACAATGGAGGCGCATAGCGCATGGGACTCGATAAGGACACTGAGAATGGCCGCGTTTGGGCTAATTATTTTAGGTCCGGCACAGCATTTATGGTTTAATTTCGTCGGGAGAGTTTTACCGAAGAGAGATATGGTAACTACATTCAAGAAACTAGCAATGGGACAACTTTTATACGGACCTATGATTAACGGTGGTTTCTTCTCTTTCAATGCAGCTCTACAAGGTACGATGCTGTGCTGTCGTCTGCTCTTTCTACGCGACACCCAATGCATTTTATATTGAACTCACTAATTAAAGATTAATCAAACGGGAAATTTAGGGGTTTTTTTTTTGTTTTTTTGTTTTTTTTTTTTTGCGTGTGTACGAACAGGGGAAAGTGGGAACGAGATTGGTGCAAGATTGAAACGAGACCTGATTCCGACTCTGCTAAACGGTCTTATGTACTGGCCACTGTGTGATTTCCTTACGTACAAAGTGATCCCTGTTCATCTGCAGGTACGTACTTTTGATGTTCATTCTCGACAAAATTCATCCATGTTTAGTATTTAAACAGGTTATTCGATTTAATTAATATTGATCAGTCGTTGTTTCGTTGACTATATAATATATATGCAGCCTTTGATGAATAGTTCGTTTTCGTACCTGTGGACCATTTATTTGACATACATGGCAAGCTTAACCAAAGCTCTTCCTCACTGACTAAGTTGTTTTCTCTCTCTTTGTTCTTTGCACGTCTTTATATTTATTACTCCAAGTTACATTTAGTTTTCCATCTAGTCTTTTTCGATAACGAATATTAGTTATTCTTCGAATCGATTTAGAATAACGAATTAAATCGTAAATGTAATGCTGTATGGTTACCACAATTTGATCGTTCCTTTTTTGAATTTTCTTTGTTTTGAGTAGGGTTGTTCATGGGTCGGGTCGGTTGAATATCGGCCGATTATCGGCCCGAACCGACCAACCGACTATTGCAAAAATGTAAAACCATTATCGGACCGACTATCATGGGTCGGGTAACGGTCGGCAACCGACTTTGTCGGTTGCCGAAATAGTTCGGTTCCAAATTATCGGCCCCAGTAAATTAAAAAAAAAAAAGGAAAAAAAAAATCAGATTTTTTGCTTAGCTTGATTAAAATTCATCCCCTAACAATTATAAAACTACATTCCAAAATCAAGTTTCGACAACAATTATAAAACTACATTCCAAAATCAAGTTTCGACATGTATCTCAAATTACAGATTAAAAAAAAAAAAAAAAAAAAATCCAGCAATAAAAATAAAAAGTCGGTTGGTCGGGTAATATCGGCCAACCGACTTTTCATCATATTAGAAACTATACCCGACCCAACTAAACATGGGTCGATTAAAATTATCGGCCCGACCAGAGCGGGTCGGTTGGTGGGCAATTATCGGCCACAAAAGTCGGGCCGATAGTGGGTCGGTTGTCGGGTAAAACCGACCCATGAACAACCCTAGTTTTGAGTAATATGAAATCAAAATCAAGTTTAGATTGGGTAATTACATGTAATGTATGATGAAATTCAAATGAACTTGTTATATTATTAATATTTCATTAAAGGATTATGTATATGGATAAAATTTCCAATGCACGCGCTTCCACGTGTCACGTGCGGCAGCGGAAATTAATGGATGACGTTTATTTAATAATTGTCGAGGTGAACAAAATCAGAACAATCTTCCCACGATTCATTAATTTAATTTTATTTATTTACAGGGATCCAAAATATTAAGATTTTTAAAAGAAGAGGAAAATAAAAAAACAAGCCAAAACAACTTGTTCATATCTTTTCCGTCTCCTAAGGATCTGAAAAATCTCTGCTTCTATTAAATTATCAGATCATATATACATACATACATACATATGTATCGTTTTACACACACATTACACACGTAGGTGCGTAATATATCTTCTGCTTCAATTATCATATCATATATATATATTTTCAGGGCAATATTGTAAATAAATCCGATCGGTTGGATTGATTGAAAATTTTGGAAAAATCAAACCTAACATTGAAAGATGAAGATTGAATGCTGGGACAAAATGATGGCTCCGATGAGGAAAGTCTGGACCAAAATCTCTAAACGGGTCGGTCTTCGCAAAACGGGTCGGTTTTTCTTCCTCTTGTTTTTTTTTTTTTTACTTTTATATGATCTGCATTGTGTTTAATTTATTTATTTAAAGGGAAAAAAAATTGGGATTGTATGAAATTGCAGGGATTGTGAAACTGCAGCAAGATGTGAGGACATGTGAGTACGAGGATGTACACATATTGTGGGACATGTTGAAGAGAAAGGAGACAGACATGAGCGGAAGACGAAAGGGTCCGATGTGGGATCAGTTTGTTCGATGGGCGAAGCACACCCCTTTGATTTGCCGTGCCGGCTGAATGCCGATCGATCGATCAATCAATCAATCAGATATTATTTAATCCAATCCTATTTGAATTTTGATTTTTTCGTCTCAGTTTATATATTTAAACATGTCGTAAAATCCGAATGTGTTTAGGGTTTTGATGTAGAGCGATCGATCTTCTTTTGAAGCTAATTTCAATATTTGAACTACATTTACTATAATATATATATGATCTGCTTTCTGGAAATTAATCGTGTATGGAAGTATATAAGCACTTCATTAAAATAGTGAAGTAGTGCTTTATATAATATTTTGTAACTATAGGGTAAACTACGAGCATCCTTCAGGTAAGACTGAATAATTCACAAACTCTTGTGGTAATGATAATTACAAATATCCTCTGAGCTATTTCTCAATCTTACAATTACACCGTTATGGAGTTATGAGTAGCGAAATCTTGAAGATTCAGGTACCTGTAATTTAACCCTAGTTTGTCTTTTTAATAAAAGGGCAATTCAGACGATGCATTTATTCCGTTAGCGTTTATAAGGGGCTATTAATTTTATCTGAGTATTTATAATTACCAATAACAGGTGGATTTGTAAGTTATTTAGTCTCGGCCCACAGGTATATGTACAATCTGCTAACATGTTACATTGTACAACTCCATACGTCTACAGTATACAGACACACACACATATACATATGTTGTGGTAGAGAGAGAGAGAGAGAGAGAGAGAGAGAGAGAGAGAGAGAGAGAGAATCTTGAATGTTGCACAAATGCCACCGCCCCTCCTACATTGATTGATTCACCACTACTACTTTAAAATTTGTGCAGGAAAACAACAACAATAACATGAAAAGCATTTATTTACTGTAATAATTCAGGTCTGCTCTCATCAATAATAATAATAATAATAATAATAATGCCCATTGACAATGAATGAAATTTCATCATTACTCCCACTCCCACTAAATATATATAATTTTATTTTTCATTTAATTTCTTCTTATTATTTTTCCCATTTTTATATAATATATATATGCAGACAAATAATTATATCTTGTGTATCGTCATCTCGGCTGATTTTCTGGTCGGTTTTGGGGTTTCTGAATCCAAGGAAAGGTGACCGACGTACCAAAGTCTGCTGCTCCATTCCAACATTTTAATAATAAATTACATTATTGTGTTTTTTTTTCTTTCTTTTTTTGGTAATTAAAATGAAGGGTACCACTTTTGGATTCTTGCTCATGTTGTTGTTGGCCATTGGGACACCTTCTTTTATCTACCTTGCTTATTCAAGCAATGCCAGAACTACCTCAAACCCAGGTCTGCTTCTCTCTCTCTCTCTCTCTCTCTCTCTCTCTCTCTCTCTCTCTCTCTCTCTCATATGTATAGGGTTTAATTTGGTAGGTGTGGTTTCAGAAGACTCCATTAAAAGAAGGAACCTCATCAAGGTATAGAATATATATACATACATGCACCTCTAATCTATATATATGAGTAATTAATTTATTTTTATTTAATTAATTGTCCTCTAAAATTTGGTAAACTAAAGGTAAATATTGGTGAAGAAGATAATAATAATGATGTGCAATTGGAAGATTACGGGGTGATAGATCCGGTTCCGAGTACAACGACTTCAATAAGGCCCGGCCCGATCCAGCATGGCACTCCTTTGTTGCCTTTTATTCCAGAACCTTCTCCTCCTCCCACTCATCCAGACCAGCTTGACTTTCCTTAATTAATTAGCTCCATATTATTATTAGTGTAATAGGTGTTTTAATTAATTAATTAGTTTTAACTTAATGTTTAGGCTATATGTTTATTTGTTTGTTTAAGTTCTGATGATCATATTAGAGAAGAAGGTTCCACTGAGTTTTGAAGCTCCACGTGTACACTTTGTGTGTTTGATATTTTATTATGGTATTTAATACTTACCAAACATATATGACATATATCATATATGTATGTGGTTATTTATGTTTTTAATTAATTACGAGTCACATTTCACATTTTGCTAACAGTCCACCAAGCATTTTTACGGACCTTAAATACCCTTAGCGTTGTAAGCCACCTGTTCGCATCCCCCAATCACTTCGAGGTTCCGCCACTTTTTCTTCTCATAATAATTACTATACGCATGTGCGAATCGTACTGTGTTCCTAACATTCGACCACAAGTGCAACAATACAGAAATGACTGACACGATAAATAATTCTCCACTAAAATCACTATCAAAATGATCGATAACCAGCAACGAAACATCACGTGCATGAACTTGTATTCAACTTACATAAAATTTACATGAATCGCAGCCTGAGTTCCTATCCTCGCACCACAAAACGGGCGTGATTGAAGCCAAAGATTGTTTTCTAGGTAAAATGATACTAATGAATGGATTAATTCATTTGACTTAAAATTTATTGAATGGATATATACATACATATACGCAGCGTCAGCCCTACGAAGGGCTTAGGGCCCAATGTTTTGGCCTCCTTGGTTTACACACCTCATCCACTAAAGATCCAATGCTTCCTATTCGGTTTTGATATTTGATATAAATATTTTATTTATAAATATATTACATGCCATATTTTTCTTTAAACCAATTAGAGTAAATTAAAAAAAAAAAAAAAAAACCCCTGGACGTAGGTCAAATTATGAAAACACTCCACCTACCCGTAATTACTATAATCCTCCCGATGTTTGTTTCCACCTTACACCGACCACCATAATAGAGCAAACATCGGAGTTTTCGTAATTACAGATAGTTGGGTGCGTTTTCCGTAATTTAACCTAAGTTCAAGGGGGTTTTCGTAATTACCAAAAAATTATGACTACCTCTGTTGAGAACACAAAATTGGGCTTTTGAACTTTATTCTTTAGGCTTAGGCCCATCCCAAAAATAATAGTTCTACTTAGATAAGATCCATTACCCCAAGACACAATATATATTATATATACAAGAAAATCCGATTCTAAGAAATCAGAATATAATCTTTTCTTGAACTTTTACTAAAGTGAAAAACATCTCCCTCTTTCTTTGTTGATTGCGAAACGTGTGTCAACTATATGGATCATATTCAAAATTAATATCATTTTTAATAATATATAAAATATTAAAATATAAAAAAAAATAATAATAAGAAAAAGTCCTTATATATACACAAGTATGGAGAAAAAGTGACACACTATCAAGTAACAATGGACCTACAATGCGGATGCGGCGAAACGCGAACTTAAAAAAGCGGATCCCGTTTGCCACTTGAGACTTGACTTTATAATTTATTTATTTATTTTTTAAATAATTAAAATTGCATAAAATTGAAAATACTTTTGTCCTATTCTATTCAAAATTGTCCTTCATTATTATAACATGGAAAAAATGGGAGCGATGACGTGGATCCCACTGCTCGTGGAGGAGGGTAACTGAGTGGGTCCCAGTGACGTGGATTGCACCCCTTTCGAACTGTACTGGTCACCCTTTTTTCAAACCCTAGTCATTACAATTAAATTATCATTAACATTTAAATTTAGGGATAATTTGACAAAAGCCCTCCATTACACAAGTGTCATTACAGTAAGTCCAATTTTTTTTCATACTTTTAAGATAAATCCAAAACTGTTTTTATTAATTAAAAATAATTAATTATTACCATTATACCCCTAACTAATAAATAATGTATATTTAAGTTTGATATTAAAAGATATATAATATATTTTCCATGTATATCTTAAATCACACGTTCTTAAATAATTCCACGATTCCCGCTTATCGATTGCAGAATTCTAATCTTCATAATTTTAATATATCTCTCTCCCCTCTTTCTCTCGCAAGAATTAATCTACAAATATCGAATATTTTGGGGGTTTAAAAAACAGTATGTGAATCTTTGTTTGATGATTGTGTTTAAAAAACAGTAGAAATAGTTGAATTAATCAGTTTCTGCGAAATTATTATAATTATTAATTAATGATGAGTGATGAGATTAGGGTAGTTTAATATGGATCATAAGTTATATTAAACAATTAATTTACATTATTTGGTGGGTGAAAAGGTGTGTTCATATATATACGTAAACAGAGAGATGTGGGGTTCCTGGTGTGTAGTGTTGAGTGGAAAAGGAATTTTGTAGCAGTGCTAATTCCCTCATATTTTGTGAGTGAAAAAGTGTGTGAGAGAAAGAGAGAGAGTGTGTGTGTGTGTGTGTGTTTTGAGTACAAATGTTGACTGTAACCACTCTGTATTTGTCTCTCTCTCTATACAAAATACAGAGTGGTTTTCACGCAATGTCGGTTTCACAATACAGAGTGGTTTTCACATAATGCCGGTTTTCATAATACAGAGTGGTTTTCACACAATGCCGGTTTTCAAAGTTACTTTTACGTCATGGGTATAATTGTGCATTAACATAACAAAATACAGTGGTTTTCAACAAAATACAGAGTGGTTTTCGTCTCAACAAAATATAGAGTCTAATTAAGCAGGAAGTTTGTCTTAACAAAATACAGAGTGGTTTTCGTGCTTTTCCACAAATTATGTAAGTGCATAATAGTCATGGTTTTAGCACTGTTCGAAATAATGTTAATATGAATGCACATTCTTTTTCTTCTCCATTGTTATGTGGTTTTAGCATATAGTCGATCGATCCTTTAAAATTACAAAGCGGTTTTGATATATTGCCGGATTTCAAAGTTACATGTCCGTTTTAATTATTATTATTATACATGTCAAATTTATATGTATTTTCTCAATCGTGGTAACAACTCTTTTTTTCCCTTGTAAATTAAGGACAACTTCTACCGTGATTTTGGGGAAATTATGAAAACGATGGAGAATGG